CCAGGGGGGGGGGGGGGGGGAGCGCAGGCCAGCCGCCCTGCCAGGCCGATGATCTCGCGCTGAGGCGGGCGGGTTCCGCGACTTCTCTCCCTCACTTGCTCTTCCGTGCTTCCGAGGGGTTTGGGCCGGGGTAGCGCCAAGGTCAATTGGGCGATGCACTCGGATCATGTGGACAGGTGCGTGTCTCAATCACACTTGGCCCCCCTCGCAGGGGGCCGCTCAGGTCAATGAGAACAGTTCACTCGTCATCGTGCCGCTGGTGGGGGGTGCACAGGCGGGAGGCGTGCGGCCGGGCCGGCGGCACCTCAGCGACGCAGTCCTTCCGCAGCGCCTTTAGGCTCATCGACCCGCCCGCGCTCGTCAGCTCCTTTGCGACGATCTTCTTCCACTTGACGGGCTTCTTGCCCGCGCCTACAGGGCGAGGGTCGGGACACGTCCGCCACGCGCACTGGCAAGCGGCTCCCCCCACTCCTCGCGCCTCCGCCGCCGCCCGCCTCTTCCTCGCGCGGCCGCTTGCGCTCCCCGCCCGCTGCGCCCGCCGCGCCGTCGCCGTCCGCCGCGCCCGCCGCGCCATCCGCGCCGTCCGCGCCGTCCGCCGTGCCGCCCTTCTTCCTCTTCTTCTTCTTCTCCGCCTCCGCCGCACCCTCCGCCTCACCCTCCGCCGCCGCCGCCTTCTCCGCCTTGGCCGCCTTCTTGGCCGCTTTCCTCGCCGCCTTCTCCTCCTTCTCACTCCCGCCCTTGCCCGTCGCATCCACCTCCGGGCCCTTTGCTGCAGGCACCGCCGCCGCCGCCGCAGGAGCAGGAGCAGGAGCAGGAGCAGCAGGAGCGGTGGCGGCAGCAGTGGGCGCTGGCGCGGCCGCGGCCGACTCGATCAGAGCCCAGAGCTTCTCGGCGATGCCCTCGCGGTCCGCCTTGAGGTTGAGCGAGTTTTTCGCAAAATTGACGAACTTAGCCTTTTTGCGCGGCAGGTTGTCGTACTGCGTCAGCCGGTCGACGTACGACTTGAGGCCGGCGCTAGCTGCAGGCGCCGCCTCGAGGGCGGCAAGAACACTCTCCATCCAGCTCTGCTGCTTCTTCTCGCCCTTGTTCTCCTTGGGCACGTAGAACTTGCCCTCGTATCGCTGCGCCTCTGACATGCACGACGTGTGCTCTTTGTACGCCTCTCCCTCGAAGCGCGCGCCGCAATCCATGCAGCAGAACACCCACGCGTTGGGGTGTTTGCGCATGTGCGCCTCCACCTTTGGCTTCTTGATGCACTCGTTGGTTGTCTCGCAGATGAAGAACACCATGGGTGTGCAGCGACGCTCTCGCGCGGGCGGCAGGAGCACCAACAGAGAGCAGACGACAGAGAGCCTCGTAACCCTCGCTGCGCGAGTTTTTCTTTCTGTCTCGTTCAATTTTTAGCGGATTGCTTTTCCTTGGCCTTTTTCCCGTGGCATCGTGGCATCTCTTCTGTTGAGACGTGCGCTCAACGACCCGCGACGGAGCTTCCGAGAGGGGGCGGGCGCTGGCGCCATTCCGCTGCTCCAACCGAGCGCTGGCGCTTCCAGCTGTCCCCGCTCCTCTCCTCGCGAGGGCATGCTTCCATCGGCGAGCGAGTCCCTGCTTGGCGCGCCGGCGCTCGCACCCGGCGCTGCCGCCCCGGCCCTCACGCTCAAGGCCGTCACAGCCGGCGTCGTGGTCGGCACGCTCAATGCCTTCCTCCTCCTTTACTACGGCCTCAAGACGGGCGTGTTTCCCGCGCTCAACCTCTCTGCCGGCCTCGGAAGTTACCTGCTGTGCCGCACCTCGGTCCGCCTGTTCGGAGGAACGTTCACCGAGCAGGAGAATGCGGTGGCGCAGACCGCGGCGACGGCGACGGCGAGCCTGGCGGCCCTCGGCTTCAACTCTGGATTGCTGGCCATGTCCATCAAAAGCTACGAGGTGACGGGCGGAGCCAGGCTGGAGGGGAATGCGGTCGGGCCGGGCAACACTGCCGAGCTGACCTTCCCCACCTGCGTGATGTGGTGTGTCGCGGTCGGCCTGTTCGGCTCCTTCGTCGCGTGGCCGCTGAAGGACTCGATGATTGTGCGTCAGCGCCTCACCTATCCAAGCGGCACCTGCGCGGCCCTCATCATCCGCTCGCTGCACGAGACTAGTGGCGAGGCCGCCTCCAACGGCCGCACCTCGCTTCGGGCTTTTGGCCTCGCCTATGCGCTGCAGATGTACCTCTGGTGCTTCGAGGGAATCCAATCCTGGCCCGTCTTTGGCCTTTCCGCCGCCGAGTTTGGCTGGACATTCGATTGGGACGTGTCGCAGCCGGCGCTTGGGATCATGCTCGGCGGCCGTGTCAACTACAGCATCCTCCTGGGCGCGGTACTGGCATACGGCGTCTTCACGCCCTACCTGGTGCAGGTGCGCAGCGGGGACTGCGAGGCGTGGATCGGCGGCAGCGACGAGGCCTGCCCCTACTGGTTTGACGACGAGGCGGCGCCGTCCGTCTACGTCGGCTCGTTCGGCTACATCGTGTTCACTGGCCTCGGTATCATGCTCGCGGACGGCTGCTACTCCATCTGCGAGTTAGTGCGCATGCTAGCACACGAGGCAACCAGCAAGGCGACGCGCCCCGCCGGCCCCGAGCCCTCGGCCGCGACGAAGGCGCTCGACCGGCTCTTCCTTGATGACCGCGCGCTGCCGGCCTGGACGTCGCCGATGGGATACCTGGCCTTTGGGGCGGGCTGCGTAGCCATCATGCAACTCGCCTTCCAAGTCCAGTGGTATCAGACGGTGACCGCCATCGCCATCATCCCCGTGTTTGCCGTCGCAATCATGCAGGCCGTCGGACTGGCCGACTGGAACATGTGCGCTTCCTTCGGGAAGCTGCTCATGTTCGCGTTCGGCGCGTGGAACCGGTCGTCGGGAGAGATTATACCCTCCCTCGCGCTCTGTATGGTCACCATCGGAGGGTGCGGCGCCGCCGCCGACCTCATGTCCGACTTCAAGACGGGGTACATGGTGGGTGCCAAGCCGTCGCAGATGTTTTACGCGCAGCTCATCGGCGCCTCCTTTGGCTGCGTGATCGTGCCCGCCTGTTTCGCCGTCCTGAACGCGGCGTTCGAGATCCCCTCGCTGGACGGCCCGCTCAAGGCCGTCTTTGCGCCCATCTACCGCGTGCTCGCAGTCGTCACCACCACCGGCGGCGGAGAGCTTCCGCGGCACATATTTGCGTGGATGTTTGCGGGCGCGGCGCTCGCGCTCGCCCTTAGCGTGGCCAACGCGCTGCTCGAGGCGCGCGGGTGGCGCGAGACGCACCCCGCCCTAACCAGCCTCGTGCCGCTGCCCATGTGCGTGGGCATCGGCATGCTGATCCCCGCGGCCTCATCGATGGAGATGGCTCTCGGCGGACTGGTTGCCGCCTGGCTGGAGCGGCGCAGCCCCAGCCTGGCGAGCCGGAGACCGTTTGTGGCCGCGGGGCTCATCGCGGGAGGCGGGCTGGCGGCGCTCACACAGGTGATCATCAAGCTCGCCGGAGGCACGCCCCCGATGGTGGTGCACTTTGGAGCGTTCCAAAAGCCGGTGATGCTCTGACCGCGGTGTCTCGTGAGAGCGAGAGAGAAGAGTGTTGAAATGTGTCACCCAGACGTTAGCGAGAAATCGAACTCATCTCTTCTTTTTTTTCAACACGCGCTCACACGAGGGGCCATATATGCCATCATGCCACAGCTCCGACCTCCGGCGTCCACGCACCGGAGGTAGAGGCTTAGTCCTTAGAGCTCGAGAGCGCGATGTATAGAGCTCCCGCTCACTCATCGCTCTCCTCGAGTCGCGCTCTCTCTCAAAGACTACCCCGCCCACGTCGCCCCGAGACCGACCAAGGGAGGATGGGAGGACGGCACGCCGCCACCACACGAGAGGTTCAAAATTCTTCTTCTTCGCGATACAGTTGTACAGACATAGGAATTCAGCTCGCGCGAATCTTCCTCTTAAGGTGCCTCGGGCCAGTTGGGGGGCCAAACCCTGCCCACCCCCTAGAGCTCCAAGTAAGGCCCAGGTGTGGCCTAGGGCATCAGACCGGGGACCAAGAGGAGTCCAGTCTGAGCCATAGAGCCCATGTCCTTGCCCCCGAAGGTCGCGTTCAAATGCCCGGAACGGACGTTACACGACCGGGGCTGTGAGGCGCCTCTGGCTCTGCAGCTGGTGGTGCTGGTGGTGCTGCTCCATGTGCTGCTCCTGTCTCTATGTCACCGTTTCGTGGGGCCGACGTGCGCGGTGGCCTTCCTCGGCCCATCCTGGCAGCGCCTCGGCTGGTGCTCTCCTTCTCGCTGAAGGTGCTGCTGTTTTGCGCTCATTGTGTGGCTGCGCGGTTCGTTGCTCCCGGGGACCAGAGACCGGTGGTGACCCACCGGTTCGGTACGACCCGCAGCCTACTCCTACTACCGCGCGCGCGCACGCGCGGGCCGCCGCGGGCGCGGGCGGGGCGAGCGAGCGCACCATTGTCTCGGTTGGTCGTACGGCGGATCTTGGAGCCTTGGAGCACTTGGGACAACGATTTCTCGTTTTCCTGAAGAGTCTGCTCGCGCGCTGTCAGAAGCTCAGAAGCGCTGAGCTGACACTGACGCTCTAGCATGGCCTCGCGACGGCAACAGCAGATGCGAAGGGGCCAGGCGTGCTGCGCCGCCGCACGCCTTCGCGCCCACACCTTTTTTGCGGTGCTCTGCACCGCAGCGCGGCAGGGCGGCAACACTCGAGCAGAGTGTACACAAGCACTGAGACAGTCGCTCTCCCTCTGCCAGATGCCCGAGCCTGGCCACAAGGACGACACCGCGACGCGCGCGGTGGCCGACTTCCTGCGCAACGAGAAGGGCAGCGGCCTCCGCACCAAGGAGGCCGTGCAGTACGAAAAGGCGCGGGATCGCTCACTGCCGCTGCCGCTGCCGTCGTGCAGGCCCAGCGCTCACCGCCCCTCCTCGGCGCTCGTGTCCGCAGCGCGTCGAGTACTTCAAGGGCGCCAAGCTCATCGACGCCCTCGTCGGCCCAAAGTACACGGGCAAGGTTGCAAAGGAGTCTCCAGTCAAGTCTCGCGCCGAGGCGGCAAAGATTGGCCAGACGCTGCTCAGCCAGGCGCGCCGTTAGCGAGCAGGAGGGAGAGACAGGCAGCGTGCGCGTCGGATGCGTCCATGGTCCCGGTGGCATGCGTTCCGGCGAGCCAGCGGCGCGAGGGAGAGGGACGACCTCTCTCAAGCGTGTGCTCCGCCTCTCTGCCCCGCCCCGCAGGGGTACTTCCACCGCTCTCAGCGCGTGGCGCACGCGCATTCGCGGCGGTGGGAGCTTGAGATGACGAACGGCCCCTTCGAGGAGGACGGGCTGTACACGTGGGTGTACGAGGGCTCCAAGACGAAGCTCTACCTGCTGACGGGGCTGCTGCTGCTTGGTGCGCCGAGACGCTGCCTGCCCGGACTGTGACCAGTGAAGACGCGCAGCGCTTCACACTCTCCCGGCTGTGAGCAGGCGCGCTGGGGATGTGCATGATCCAGGCGGGCGTGCGGCCGCCTGTCACTCCCATCCTCTTCGCTCTCCTCTTCCTCGCCGTCGCTGCCCTCACCACCGCCGCCTCTCGCCGCCGCCGCCGCCGCTCTCCTCAACGCTGCCTCTCGCTCCTCTCCACTCGCCGACCGCTCTCCTCATGGCCGCACCGCATGGCATCTCGCCACCGCCCTCACACTTCGCTGCCACCCTTACCGCCGCCGTCGCCGCCGCCGCCCTTACCAACGCCGCCCTCGCCACCGCCCGCACCGCCACCGCCCGCACCGCCACCGCCCGCACCGCCACCGCCCTGCCGCAGATCTGGCCCCTCTGGATGAAGATCGGGGTGTGGTGGTGCAGCGTGACCTTCCTCACCACCTTTGGCGTGCTCTGCGTCGTTCGGCTCGGCCTCTTCATCCTGATGTGGATCGTCGGCTTCCGCGGCATCTGGTCCGAGACACCTCCGAGACACCTCCCGCGCCTCCCTCGCCGGCTCACGCTCCGTGCTACGTCCCACACTCCCGCCGTCGCTGCGCAGCTCGGGCCCCACTACGCGCCGCCCACTGCAGCCTCCTTGAGATGCCCCGGACGCGTCCCGCCAGGCTGTTTCCGAACCTGTTTGACGACAACCAGACATTTGCGGGCAGGCAGTGACTCGCCCTCAAGCTTGCCTCTCTCCTCCCTCTGCCTCTCTCCTCCCTCTGCCGCCATTCTCCTCCGGCCGTCGCTCCGTGTCTCGAGTGGAGCATGCGTGCAGCATCGCGTGCAGACCCAGCGCCTCACCTCGCCCCACCCCGGCCCGCCAGCTTCATGCCCATCATGGGCAAGGGCGACCCGATCATCATCTACGAGGACAGCGACGAGGAGTACAACGAGTACATGCGCAAAAAGTCGAAAAAGAAGGGCGACGACTCCAAGGGCGAGACACAGCCGAGATATAGCCGAGATAAGCCGAGATCATGGGCAGACGACGACTCCAAGGGCGGAGGGCGGAGCGACAGCGAGCGCTTTTGGTCGGAGCCTGCCCTGAAGTCTCTCGCAACCTCCCCGTAGGGGAGGAGACCAAGAATGGCAAGCGTGTGGTGCGCAAGAAGGAGAGCGAGGCGACGGACGAGCCGTCGTGGCAGTGAGCTTTAGCCGAGATGTAGCCGAGATGTGGCCGATGTGTAACCGAGGCGGTGGGGGTCTTGTGTTTCCTCGGAGGCTGCGGCGCCGCTCGTAGAGCGGCCATACTTCCGCGCCCCGGCTGCAGCCCGCCTCGCCTCGCCTCGTCCCGACAGGTTTGGGATGGTGAACATCTTCATCATCTTTGGGCTGGGCGGGCTCTGGTGTATGTCGATGGGCTTTTTCGACGGCGAGAACGTGCCCGATTTCGTCGCCAAGCGCGACGACCTGCAGTACTACTTCAAGGGCTTAGCTGCGCCCGAGGTTGCAAACGAGACGGCCGACGGCGACGGCCGCGACCCCTTCGCGGCGCCAGAGGAGGACGGCAGGGGACGGTTCTGACGCTGTCCTCCCACGCGCCCTCGTCGCTTCTCTCTCCCCTCTCGCCACCTCACAGCTCTAGACCTCACGTCTCGCACTAGCCGCGGCCCTTTTTGCAGGCGCGCCTCGCCGCTCTTATCTCCGCCATATCATGCGCCCCTTTTGACCGGGGCCGCGGCGCCGCGCTCTAGCCGTTAGCCATGTGTGGGAGCACACCGCGCCGGTGTTCGGTGGGAGGTTTGTGTACAAAGTCGAGTGTACCGTCGGTGCAACGGTCGGGGGCGTCGCTCGGGGCTCGGGCCCGACCCCGGGCTGGCGGGCGCGCCCGTGAGCGGTGAGCCGTGTGGGTGTGCGCGTGTGTGGGCCACACGCGCGCCGCTCCGGCTGCCCCAGCCGGTGCAGCTGGCAGCTCGCCGGAAACTCAGGAGCTCTCTGCTGTCCTGTGCAGTCTCTTCTCCTGTAAGCTGTATATCCTCACGCCCTCGATAGAGAGACCGCCGTATCGCGTATCGCGTATGGAGCTTGGACTTTGGAGTGGAAGCATGCCACCACGACGCACGAGCCGCGATAACACTCGAAGTACCGTCCAATCGAGCCGTCCCCTCTTTTACATACATAAATAAGGCTAGGGGTGAGAGAGATTTTTAGCAATACCAAATTGTTTGTTTAGGGGTGCGCCTCCGCCACGCGTGCGTACTGGCGTGAATCAGGAGGTCTCCTTTATTGAAGTGGAGGCTGGTTCGGACGCCGCGACGCGCCCGCTCAAGCGTCTTGCCAGCCAGTGCCACCGACCGAACTCCGCTCTCCGGCCCGGCGCGCTTCACGCTTCACGCGGGACTTCGGTGCGGGCCGACCCCACAGTGATTCACTGTCAGATTCCACACACAGCTCATAGGGGCGGCGCGACGGTAGACGACGGTTGACCGAACGGTTTTTTGGCCATTTTAAATACAGCTCGCTTTGCTGCCACGTGGAGCAGGCGACTGACGGTTACCTCACGGCGGGCAGGGCCGGGAGAGCTCGGAGCTCGCCTTTCGTTTGGAGCCGCCATGTCCATGATGTCGCCACCGAGCCTCGTCCGCAGACTCTCCCCGGGCGGGTCTCCGTCTCCCATGCTTCCTATATGCCAGCCTCGAGCCGAGCAGCGGGACAGGAGGTGGTCGCTTCTCCGAGCAGCGGTCGTCATGGCCGTGCTTGTGCTATGCGTCACGACTGCAGGCAGGTACAATGGGGACGAGAGATTGACCGTGCCGGTCGATCGCTCGCTCAACAAAGAGGGTCGAAGGATCTTTGAGGAGGAGCAGAGGGCCACAGCGTCCGAGCAGACTGCGCATGATCCGTCGCCGGTCGCAACATCCTGCGCCGACAAACGACACGAGTGCCCGCGCTGGGCAGCTCTCGGCGAGTGTGATGCTAACCCGCATTACATGCACCATTCGTGCTCCAGGGCGTGCGGGCGATGCGCCCAAGAGGCCTCGTGAGGCCTGTGGCTCCGAGTGTGCGAGGTTCAGAGGGAAGCTGTCCGGGTGGGTTCGAACGAAGCACTCATGAGAAACGGGGGTCATGGACGTGATATGTAGGATCTGGATTGCATGGGATTCATCCCCGTGACGTCGACTGGTGTCTGTCTCAGTGCTTGTGCACACTCTGCTCGAGTGTTAGGGCCGCCCTGCCGCGCTGCGGTGCACAGAGCACCGCAAAAAAGGTGTGGGCGCGAAGGCGTGCGGCGGCGCAGCACGCCTGGCCCCTTCGCATCTGCTGTTGCCGTCGCGAGGCCATGCTAGAGCGTCAGTGTCAGCTCAGCGCTTCTGAGCTTCTGACAGCGCGCGAGCAGACTCTTCAGGAAAACGAGAAATAGTTCTCCCTGTTTGCCGTGGATGCCGGATAGCGTGCGAAATCCAGAGCTCGGCAACCTTGCATTCACGTTTTGTTTAATAACTGCGTATTGCAAGAACGCAGCCGGGAAAGCCCCCAGCCCCACACAGGCCTTGGTTACCCCGACACGCTAAGCACCTCTCACGTACGTGCGCCTCACGTCAAGTCGTCAGCGGCGCTCAAAACTCAAATGCTCAATCACTAAGGTAAATTTCTCCACACACACAAAGTGGTGGGGCAAGGAGGGGCGACCCTCGGCCTCGCATCTCCACACCCGGACACGGGCAGCTGCCAGCGTGCCAGGAGCCCCACACGGCATTCACGTGTACGGACCGGTAACGCTATCGTACTTTGAGATTATACAGCGCGTAGTGTGTCAAAACAGGGAAGCAACCAACAACAAAAGAATTCGCCCGACGCGCCCCACGGCCAGCGCGTCCACGGACCACGCCGAGGCGCATAAGGAAATGCCTATGGAGTGTGAGCACATACAATGCTGCATGCAGTGCTGGCGATTTACTGGTATAGCCCCCCAGAACAATCAAACACTCTACGGCCAAAACAATCAAATGGTGGTAATATTTACCACGACTTCTGAAGCAAAATCTGACTAAAATCTGAGAAATCGGCAAAATACCGGGTATTTCCCAGGTATACCCGGATTTCCCCAGGTATACCCGCAAAATACCCGGTATTTTGCCAATTTGGCTGAATTTGGCCGCAAACCAGCCTCAGACTCGGCTCAGATCCCGAAAATTTGATGATTCCACGGAGTTTCGTAATTTACCATACCACTCTCTGCTCATACCATACCACTCCCTAGGAGAATCAAATAAGTGGTAAATACCACTCATTTACCAGTAAATCGCCAGCACTGGCTGCATGACGGCATGTGCCACACCGATCATGCCCCCTGCGCGAGCGGGGCAGGGTGCGCGCGGCCTGGCGCGCCGCCCCACACACTGATGAGGGAGGGTGGGGTGAGATAGATAGAGGATGGGAGATGGAGAGCACTCTGGTGTCTGGAGCACGGCGTGTTGAGCCGTGGTGTGTAGATGTAGAGCGCTGGAGAGCGCTGTAGAGCTGTAGAGGGGTCCCGTACCATGGAATCGACCCTCATTCCAGTGCAACAGTGCAACAGCTCATGAACTGCTGTTACGGGAACGGGCTTTCTCGTTAAGTATATAGGGGACCCTGCGCCTGCCCCTGCCGCCTTGCCACGAACGACCGACGCGGAGCAGCTCCTTCCTGCCCCCCCCCCCCCCCCTCCCCTGCCTATGATGGTTGAGTTCGTTCGTCCGTTGGTTTGGTTAATTCGAGGCGTCTCCGTACCGCGGCGTTCATCCTCGGCCCCCCCCTCTCTAACGAGACTTCGAGTAGAGTTTGACTTCTATGAGTATTCCAAACCGACCGTTACCCAATTAGCAATTTCGGCGTCAGAGGGGCCGTGAGACAGCCGAGCCGTGAGACAGCCGAGCCGGCCGGACCAACACTTGGGTCGCATGTTAACCTCAGCCTCGCCACCTGTCCCAATTTATCCGAAAGCTGGTGGGGTAAAGCGGCGGAGGAGGTATGACGGCGCCTTCAAGCTGAAGGTCGTTCAGCAAGCGCTCAAACGACCGCTGGGCTGCCGGGTCAAGCCCACCTGCCGCGAATTTCCTGGAGTCGATCCGGTACGAGATGCCTTCCCGTCCTCCTGCCGTCATCCCCCGCTTAGCCCCCCCCCCCCCCCCCTCTCCCCGGGCAGGTTCAACTACGCAAGTGGATCAAGGCCTTTGAAGCGAGCAAATCTCCGCCCCCGCCACACCCTGCCCGGGCCGTGGGCATTGGGGGCTGCTTGCCGAGCAGCGCCGGCTGCACGCTCGAGAAGTGTAGCGAGCTGCACACGGTTCCATTCCCGACCACCATCGGCATTCCTCTTTTTTTCTTCATGGGCATCAACACGCCAGGAGCACGTCACTATGGCTGGCAGATCACCCCCGCTGTCGCTGACTGGGGGCTTCCCCGCTCGATGGCAGCACCTGTCCCGCCCATGCCCTCGTCGCAGCCAGCGCCGCCGTCTGCGCCGCTGCAGCCGCCGCCGCCGCCGCCGCCGCCGCCAAAAAGTCCGCCGATGGTAACCACGCACGCGACGAGTTTGGAGGCGGCAGCGGCAGCGGTGATGCTCACTCTATCTGCCTGAGCACGGAGCGCACGGCCCCGGCCGCCGCCCGGGGGCGGAGCACGGAACACCAACGCCGAGGACCGGTGGACTAGATATGAAGATATGAGAGAAACACATCGCGTCGTGCGCGCGCGTGCGTCGCGGGATCTGCAATTGCGTGTGTGTGTGTGGCATCTCGTCGTCGGGCTCTGCTGTTCGCACGTCTCTCCAAGTCCAGCGCGAGCGCAGCGCCAGGCTCTAAGTGCGCCAGAGCCGTAGCGTACTCATGTCTCTCCAAGTCCAGCGCGAGCGCAGCGCCAGGCTCTAAATGCGCCAGAGCCGTAGAGCGCGTGTAACACTCTCACACATGTCCATGGTATTGGTATGAAAAACACTCTCGCGGCTGATATCGACCGCTCCGCTGCACCCTCGTGCCTCGTCACCCGCGCCACCCATGGATGCCACCCTTTCCACATTTTTTTAGTACATGTAAACTGCCGCTGTCCCGGCGGCACCACGCCGCGACCAGTTCTGTGGCAGCCAGAGCTCGCATTGCTGCCAGCGGCTCCGGTCGGGGATGATTTGCGTGTTGTACGGCTGCGCCAAGATCCCGCGCTGCACGAGGCGGCACCGGTTCTTGACCATGCGCGGCTGCAAGTCGCGGTTGTCGAACGAGCACGGCTTGTGGTGGCAGTAGGCCGCGATGGTTGCGTGCGGCGTCCACAGCCGCTCCGCGAGGACCGACGCGCGCAGCCACAGCTTCTGGTCGAGGAAGAGCTCGTCGGCAACCTCGCCCCACAAGCAAGCCTCCGCACCGAGCACGCGCGACTCCTCCTCCGCGCTCAGCCCGGGCGGCACCAGCTGCGCGTTGATCACCTCCTCCCACACGGTCGCTCTCCCGCCGGTAGAGTAGCCGCCGTCAAAGTAGAAGCCCGATGAGCGGACCGCGCGTCCGCCGGACCGCACGACCGCCGCCATCTCTGCCCTACCGGCCTCGTCCCACCGGCCCCACTCCTGCGCGATAGCGGTGCGCGGGAGGGGCGGGCCGCGCCCGTGCGCCGACGCGTTGTGCACGCGCCGAAAGGCGTCGGCCCACGTCTGCACCTCCTTGCCGTGCTCGGCGGCGGCCGCGTGCAGCCTCCTCTCGAAGTGGACGTACACGTCACGCAAGTCGGTCGCGCCTTGCTCCCGCATCCACGCGCGCACCGACGCCTGGCGGACGAGTCGTGGACGCGTCAAAAGACGTGCTGCGGGCGTGCCACTGACTGTCTCGGAATGTGTCGCTCGCCGAGCGGTTGAGGCAACGCACGTCCACCTCGTCGCCTCCAAAGTGCATGACTCGGTCGGGGAAGCGGGCGCCGAACTCTGCGATCAGCTGGCCGAGGAAGCGCCACGTCGCCTGCGGGCAAGGCTCCGAGAAGGGTCACGGCTCCCGCGACCGGCTCGGCGAGCGGAGCGCCACAGCCGCCTCCAGCGTCGGGTCGAGCAGCCAGGCGCGGCCGCCGTAGTCGCCGGCCGGGCCGCGGCCGCACCGCACGAAGAGGTCTGGCCGCGCGAGGGCCCACGAGGAGGCGTGCCCGGGCAAGTCCAGCTCGAGGACGACGCGCACGCCTCGCATGCGCGCGTACTGCACGACCGCTTCCTGGTCCGCCACGCTGTACAAGCCCGCGCTCACGCCCACGGCGGACGCATAGCTGCCGCGCGCGGCGAGCGCGGGGAAGGCTGTGCTACCCATCGGGAAGGCGTCCTCGTCCGAGGCGTGCCAGTGCAGCGTGTTCATCCGGCTGTAGGCGAGCGCGTCGATCTGCCGGAGCAGGGCCGGCACGCTGAGCCAGTGCCGGGCCGTGTCGACCATCACGCCACGGCTCACAAACGCTGGCTTGTCATCGATCTGCCACGGCGCCTTGCGAAGCTCATACCAGCGGTCCGACGGAGAGTACTCGACCAGCTGGGAGAGAGTCTCGAGGCCGCGCAGCGCGCCCCAGACCGTCCTGGCCGACAGGCGGCAGTCCGCGTCGGCGGCCACTCGCAGCGAATAGCTCTCGTCGTCGCCGAGCTGAAAGGAGCCGTCGCTGGAATTGGCCACCGAGACGGAGCAGTCGGTCAGCGTTGTCGCGGCGGTGGCCGGCGAGCTCCCGCTGCCCCACGCAAACATGATGCGCCGGTAGCGCGCGAGCGCTGCGCTGAGCACCTCGGACGGAGCGGTGGCCGCGGCGAGCGTAAAGGCGAAGCGGCCCGGGTCGACGCGGAGAGTGGCGGTGCCGTTTGTGAAGCGGTAGGGCGTTGGAAGGAGTGGATGGACGGCGTCGGGGTCGATCGGCGCCATTTTTTCGAAGCGCCGCTTTTTATGGAAGTGTACTTGTTTGTTGTCACTTGTAGAGTGTGCGCGCGCGCGCCCTCGCACGACACTGGACTGGCGCGCGCAGTGGCAGAGACACTGGGGTGCACCCGTGTGATAAAAGAATTTCCGCGGATTGGAAAGTAAATCAGAAGGCTCGGAACAGGGCGGACTGGCGCTGCTCTACCACTAACACAGGCAAATGATAAAAGAAGGGAAGGGCGTCCGTGGTATCTCATGAGGTCACTATTGTTCATCGGCGAGGCCCGTCCTCCGCATGCACACGTTCCTGCAGGGCGCCCAGCTCACGCCCCGCCCCGGCCACCACCACGGATCGGCGCAGCACTCCTCGCCGTCGCAGACGCCCTCCGCGGCGTATCCTAGCTCCGCGTACAGCGCGCGCGCCGGCCGGTTCTCCTCGCCGACCAGCAGGAGCAGCTCGTCAAAGCCCCACTCCGCCGCCAGCGCCTCGGCGCGCGCCACCAGTCGGCTGCCGATCCTCTTCCTGCGGAAGTCGGGGAGGACGGCCAGGTTCGAGAGGAGCGGCCTCACCGCCATCGAGCGTCGCTCCTCTCTCCGCATGCTCGAGAGGAGCCGCTCACCGCGCCCGTCCGGCGTGAGGGAGAGGGCCTGCAGGCCGCACACGCCGACGAGGCGGTCGCCGTCCTCGGCAAGCAGCAGGGCAGACCGGCCGACCGCCGAGGGAGCCCGGCGGCTCTCGCCGGCAAAGGCGCGCACGAGGTCCGCCTCGGTCTCGCGAGCCAGCGTCGCCCTCGCCGCCTCCGAGGCCGGCTCAAACATGGTGACGGAGAGGAGCGCGGCGAGCGGCTCGAAGAGCGGCGAGGAGGCGGCGGCGAGCTCGGAGGCTTCTGCCACCCGAATCGCGACGGACTCGCTGAGCTGCGTAGCCTCGCTCCCGCCGGTGCTCTCCAGAGCGATTGGCGGCGCCGCCCGCGGCGGCGCCGGAGGTACCAATATGGCGCCCACCGCCGGGCACAGCCACACGAACAGCAGCATAGACGCGCCAGGCTGCGGAGGCGATCTTGTCCGCATGGTGCGCCCTTGTTTTTCTTCTTTCTTTCCTCTCAGCAAACACTGCTTCTAAAAAGAAAAATAACGATATCTGGTCCCGGAGGAAGCAGCGTGCTTGCCGCTCGACAATGCTCGCCACCCGCTGCGCCCTCGACATCGGCTCGGGCCAGCACAAGCTGCTGATAGCTGTCGTCGACGCTGCGAGCGGCACGATCGTGCGCAAGGTCCACGGCGAGCAGCGCCAGGTCCTTCTCAACCACGACCTCGTGCAGAATGCTGCCGCCGGCCGCTCGGAGCTGAGCGAGGCGGCGCTGGCGGCCTCGCGCGCGGTGCTGGAGGCCTTCCGTGCGCTCGCGGTCGAGGCGGGCGCCACGCAGTTTGCCGGCGTCGCGACTGCGGTCTTCCGGCGCGCTCAGAACGGCGAGGCATTCCTGGATCGGATCAACGGCGAGCTCGGCTTGGGGCTGCGCATCGTGTCGCAGGCGTCCGAGGGCGAGCTGGGCTACCTCTCCGCCTGCTCCGGCCTGCCGCCTCCGCCGCCGTCGGACGCGGAGCCGCTGGTGGCGTGGGACAGCGGCGGCGGATCCTTCCAGATCAGCGCGAGGGTCGGCGGCGCGCTCTGCGTGTGGGAGGGGCCGGTCGGCGACTCGAACGTCACCGCCGCGCTCCTCGGGGTGCAGGGCCGCGCCTTTTCCGGCAGCTCGCACGGCGTCCGCACCTCGCCCAACCCGGTCTCGGCGGGCGAGGCGGCGGCGCTCGTCGCAAAGCTGGAGCAGGAGCTGCTGCCGCCGCCGCCGGCGTGGCTGCCGCCGCTGCTCGCTGCGCCCGGCTGCCGTGTGGTTGGCTTTGGCGAGAGGACGAGCATCTTTGCGCTCGCAGCCAGCATCCCCACCGCCGGGGAGGCGGGGCCGGGCGAGGGCGCCAGACTCACCCCCGCCTCGGTGTGGGCCGCCGTCGAGCGCAGCTTGGGCAAGAGCGACGCGGAGATGGCGGAGGCGACGGGCGCCGATTCGCTGCACGACGAGGAGGACCTCGTCCTCCCAAAGCTGCTCCTCCTGCACACCATCATGCGGCGGCTCGGCGTCGACGGGGTGCGGTACGTCCGCACCATGGGGAACGCCGAGGGCGTGCTGGTGTATGAACCCCTGTGGTCCGGTTCCGGTGAGGGTGTACCGTGACACGAGAAATTATTCTTGCCGCCGGGTTTCACACTCTGTTGGGTCATGACCCCGCGGCGCCGACCAAGCGTCGCTCGAGGGCGACGCGCCGGCCGAGGAGGAGGGCGACAGGCCCAAGCCGGTACTGTGCGACGCTGGCCGCTGCGACTCAGATGATGGAGCCGGACACCGAGCACTGGTCGTGGTCAATCTTCCGTACGTGGCAGCTTGCCCTCGTCTTTCTCCTGCCCTCGACGCTTTTCTTCGCCGCGTCCATCGCGACTGCGGTCCGGCTGCACAGCCGAGGTATGCTCTTCACAGGTTCGCGGTGGTTGCCGCAGGCCATCGATGTGCGCCGCCTCCTCGCCGACGGCCTGTACGTCGACACCCAGCGTGTCAGGACTGCAAAGGAGATGATTGCCGCCCATCGCGCTACGCCGGCACGGATAACGAGCAACTTCCTCGCCAGAAGCCGGCCGCTCGGACCACACACGGCGATCACCGAGGCCGACGTTCGCGCGGCGTACTCTCCGCACGCGACACTTCCGGACGGTGAGGAACTGCTCGCCGACGGTGTGGTGCTGCTCCTCCGGCTCGCGTGCCTGTTGGTGGCGAGCGGGCAGGCGACCGTTGAGATAGAGCTGCTGCTCGCTTCCATCTGCCAGCGCCTCTCGCTGCGCGGCGCGGTGGTCCAGGTGGGGCACCGTGAGGTGCGCGCGCAGTTTGGCGGCGGAGAGCCGGTCTTCTATGCGAGCTGCGGCATGGACTTCAAGCTGTCTCGCATGAGCGACGTGCAGATGCTCGCGCGGCGCGTCGCGCTCGTCAAGCCGCCGCTGCGTGCGTGCCTCGCCGCCCTCGACGAGATCGAGGACCGGCCGCCTCCTTACGGGTGGGCCGTGCGGCTCATCGCGATGGAGCTGGTCTGCACGCTCGCGCCGCTCTCCGTGTACGGCGGCGACTACGTCGATATGCTCGGCGGCGCGCTGCTGGGCCCGTGCGTCATGCTGGTCGGCGTCGTCACGCCCGTGGTCTGGAAGCTCGTGCTGCACCCGATGGGGGCAGAGCAGTGCTCGACGGCGCCCGCCGCCTTTGGAACGCTCCTTATCTGGCTGCCCGGCCTGCAGCTGGTCTATGGCGTCCACGAGATTCGCCTCGGCTCGGTCGAGGACGGGTTTGCGCCTCACGGTATGCCCACGGTACGAGCCTGACACGTCTCGCGCGTGTGCATAGGTTGTCATTGGCGCCGCGCGCCTCACGCGTGGGCTCGTCAGTGCCATGCTCATAGCGCTGTTCTTAACCTTTGGGTGGCAGTCCTTCGGCCGCAACATGTTTGCCGACGAGACGCGCGGCGGCGAGCGGACTCACCTCTACGGCACACAGGGCCCGATCGCCTCCCTTCCTCCTTCGGTCGCGTGTGCCTCGACAGAGGGCGAGCGCGACTGGCCCCTCTCGACCATGGCCTTCACGGTGCCGCTGCACCTCGCCGCCCTGGTCTTCTACGAGCTTCGGCCGAGGGAGATATCGCCGCCGCCCGGCTCTCGCCCCACCAGGGACGACCGACTGAGCGGTCTCAGCCTGGAGCGTGCGTAGGAGATTCCTGGCCCACTGCTCGTCGGGTGGTTGACCTTCGCCTACCAGGGCTTACTCAAGTTTTGGTGCGAGGACGGCACCTGCTCGCTCCCCTACTTTGTCGACAGGCGAGGCACGCGCTCCCCAGGGATGGCCGTGATTTGGCTGCCAAGCCTTTCCCGCCTCCTCCTGGTTCGCAGCCTGATGGTGGGGTTCGTCGCTTGCTCCGCGGCTTGTGCACACGAGCTCCTCTCAGGCGTGCCTCTGCCCCCCTTCTCTTGCGCCACGCTCCCTCTGCATGGATGTCCGCCGTGAACAGGCGTGCCTTACACGGTCTGCATCGTCCCCGTCGTCCTGATCCTCGCGCCTGGCGCGGGCGCCGTCAAGGCAACGCTGCGGCGCTGAGCCCTGGCGACGGGCTGTGAAAAGGCATCCCTTCACGCTTGCTTGCGCGAGCAGGCGACGCTCGGCTCTTTCCACCGCAACGAGGGCGACGCGGACTCGCAGACGAGCACCCTGTGGGAGTCGCTCGTTCTGGAGGGAGCCACCCTCGCCGCCGGCTTCTACGTCGCGTACGGCTTCTGGGCGCCGCTCATCGAGGTGGGCAGGCGGATCTCTCGTGAGGCAAAGTGGGGACCCCTAGCGAGCGGATCGGACGATTCGCAGGCGTCGCCACTCCTGTCCTTTCGACATCAGTAGCAACTGCCAACCCCTGCTTACGGAGGCTCTCAGGCGGAGGCGGAGGAGGGCCGTCGACACTCTAGCGCTTCGAGCACGGAGGGGCGGATGACATTTTTCGGAGACCAGCGGCGCAATTTTGGGCGAGGAGAGGGCGACTGGATCTTTGGGCTGCACCTTGGAGATGCCGCGCGCTCGTGGCTCCAGTCAAGGTATCGCAGGCTCGACGCGGTGGCTGCGGTCTAGCATGGACCATGGAGCATGGTCACCCGCGCAGCACCGGGGGACCGGGACCGGGGGCCAGCCCACACAGCCCGCACACATATACAGTGCAACACACAAAGATTTTTTACGGGTTTAACTGAACAGAGAGTCCCTGGATCATGTGTCACGGAGCTGTGAGCCTGTCGCCCTCTTTTTTCGGCCAAGACACCGCTGTGAGCCACCGTGCTAATAGCGCCGCCCCTTCTTGACCACGATGAAGTCCTCCAAGTCAGCGAACGAGTCGCCGCCGCCGTAGCCCTGCGCGAGCTCCGAGTCGATGAAGGTGTTGCGACTCCGCATCCGCCGGCCGGATTTGCCCCCCTCTGGCGCAGGCACATCGTCGGCCTCGTAGTTGGCGTCCTCGTCCTCGCCGGCGCTAGCGGCAACCGCGAGCGTCGCGCCGTCCGCCTGCTGCCCCGCCCTCCATGCCCGCTCGACCTGCTCGAGGAGCTCTCCGCACTCGCGCCAGCTCGCGGCGTGCGGCGCCAAGACGTCGCAGAGCTGCAGCTGCAGCCGCTCCGCAGCGTAGAGAGCCGACGGCACCCGCCTGCGGCTCGCCGACGGCCAGCCCGACCTGCGGGCACGGAGCCAGCCGCAGTAGGCCTCGAGGAGCGTCGCGAGCTCCCGCCACGCCGAGAGCCAACCGCTCGCGCCTCGCCACGAATCGAGAGCCGCAGCGCCGCTGCCGCCGTGACCGCAGCCGCCGCCGACTCCGCCGCGTCGCAGCGAGCTGCACACACGCGTGGCGAGAGCCAACGCGGCGTTGACCATCGCAATCAGCCGCGTCGCAACCACCGGCGCGAGCGGCCCCCCACCCAGTCTGCCCTCCGCGCCGGCGCTCGGCTCAGAGGGGGGCGGGGCGGCTGGGTCGGCGGCCGAGTCGGCGGCGGCGAGGTCCGCACGGAAGACGGCGCGAGCCACCGCGCTGAGCGTCGCAAAGTAGGAGCAGTGGCGGGCCGCGGCGAGCGGGCCAGTGCCGCACGCCGGCTGGAGCGGGGCAGAGCGCCGGACGTGGTCGAAGATCTCGAGGAGCGCGCCGGTGCGCGACGCGTCGGACGCGCAGAGCTGCATGCCGCAAGGCTCTCCGGCGCCGCACTCCGCGCCCCCTCTCGCCGCGCCTTGCTCAGCCTCCACCCGAGAGGCGTCGGCGGGCCCAGCAGGCTCAGCGGGCGGCTCAGCGGCCTCGGCAAGCGGCGATCCGCCCAGCGCGGCCGTGCAGAGCTCGATTGCTGTGTCGATCGACGAGTCGAGCGGCGAACCACGCTCGCGCGCGGGCCCGCCCAGCGGCGGAGGCGGGTGCTGGAGCAGGAGGCGGAGCAGAGGTCGGAGCGCCGCGGGCTGCGGGATGGCGTACGTGGTGAGGAGGTGCCGCACGCAGGCTGCCTATGGGGAGGTTCCGGAGAAGGCTCGTTGAGGGCTCGCTAGGCGGCGAGGAGGGGCGGCCGCGGGCTGCCGCGCGAGCCGCCCGTCGGGCGGGAGAGGTGTGGAGGAGGGGGGTGAGGAGGTCAACGTACGCGATCAGGAGGGAGACGGAGAGCCCGCGCTCGAACTCGGCGCGCAAGCCGCCCAGGGCGGCGCTGAAGAGCTCGTCCACCAAGCACGGGGGCGCACCTCGAGAGCCGTTAGAGAGATGAATGGCCGCTCGCCGTCGCCGTCGCCGTCGCCGTCGCCCTCGCCCTCGCCCTCCTCGAGCAGCTGCCTCACCGCTGCGGCACTGAGCGTCAGGACTGCGCCACGCAAACGCTCGAGCGCCAAATTCAGCTCAGAGGCCGTCGGCCGCCACGCCTCCTCCTCCTTCCCGCCAGCCTGGCGCGAGCCCCTCGCCCCGACAGCCTCCGCGAACCGGAGCACCGCGCGCTGCAGCCGGAGCAGCGCCGCTAGCACGCAGCGCAGCCCCGCCGCCTCCGCGCACTCCTCGCCCTCCTCCCCCTCACCTGCTCCCCCGTCCAGTGCGGCGCTCGTGCTCGAGCCTGCAGGGCACCGTGAGCGAGGAGCCGCGCCGCCGCTCGGACCGCCGCTCGGACCTGCGCCCGAGGCACCAGGCACCGGGCGCAACGCGATGGCGATTTCGCGCGCCGCACGCGCCGCGGCACCAGCCGCGACTGCGTGGCCTATGGGGTGTGTCAGGACGTATCACGGACATGTCCTGGACACGTATCGGCACCAGCCGCGACTGCGTGGCCGACGCTAGGCAGCGCGTGGCTGCAGAGGAGCAGCGCCGCCCCGAGCCGCCCCGAGCTCGTCGGCGCCGCGGCGCCTACGGGGCATGTCTCGGGCTGTGGTGGTCGTGTCCTGGACATGGCCACTCCTCGGCGCTTTTGCTGGCCACCCCCGTCGTCGCCGCCGGCCGACGCGTCCTCCAGCATGGCTGCCGTTGCGGACAGGGAAGCGAGCGCGGCCCCGTAGCCGAGCGGCGGAGCGGCGGCAGTGGCGGCGGAGGCGTCCGTCTCGGCCGCGAAGGCGGCGGGAGAAGGCATCGCACCGAGGGCGCGCGCGCACGCGGCAGGCAGCGAGACCCGCTGGCCTGCGGCGGTGGCGCAGCGGACGGCGGCCTCGATGCGCGACCACGCCACGCCGGCAGCCTCGTGCAGAACGGACGGGTGGCCGGAGGGGCAAGCCGCCAGCCGCGGCTCGTCGAGGGCGAGGGCGAGCGGCACGAGGGACTCGAGGGGCTGGCAGACGAGGGGCTGGCAGCCGAGGGGCGCCTCCTCCAGCCCGCCGCCGCCGCCTGGGGCGGGCAGCCGCGCTGGGGCGGGCAGCCGCGCAGGCCACGGCGCGGCCTCGAGCAAAGCGAGGGCGTCGTGTAGCCGCCGCGACTGCGCCGCGGTCTGCGCCTACGACGGTATGTCCAGCGCACGTCGCACGAGATGCCCCCGCACGAGACCGCGCTGCGACGCGCCTGTGCGCCTGCCCCGCCCCTCCCTTCCCCGCCCCTCCCCTCCTCCCAGGCCCGAGCGCCGCGTGCGCACACCGGATCAGCTGCGGCAGCGCGCCGGCGTCGGCTGACGAGCGCGCGGCGCACAGCAGCCGCGCTGCCCACGCGGCGTCGAACGCCTCGTCGGCGGGCGCGGGCGGCGCGCCGCCGCCTCCGCCCTCTTCGCCCGCCGAGCGGGTCGCGCTCCCCGCGGCGGCGAGGCTGCCGAGGATGGCCGAGAGGAGGAGCGACCGCCCCTGGCCACTCGCGGGCCCGCCCGCGCGCAGCAGTCGGCACAGCCCGCGCCAGGCGAGGTGCGCGTGCGCACCGCCGCCCGACGCGGCCCAGCGCAGGGCGAGGCACGCGTCAACCTACAGCCACGCCGTCCTCTAGACGCCTTGGACACGGCCCCCCTTGCGAAGCGAGCCGGCTGCAGTGCGCGTCCGCCTCCCGCTCCTCCGCCGCGCCGCCGCCGCCGCCCGCGCCGGCGGCGCCGCCGCGCAGGAGGCCTCGCCGCAGCAGCTCTGCCCAGCCGTGCGACGCGAGTCCGCGAGAGGCGGCGTGCGGCGCGGCGAGCAGCTTGCGCAGCAGCAGCAGCAGGTGCGAGCCGAACCCGCCGTGCAGAGGAACGAGCGGGAGCAACGCATCAAGGACGGCGGCCGCGGGCGCGGGCGGCAGGGAGGGGAGGCAGCTGCTCCACTCGCGCAAGCGGCCCGCGTGGTCGTGCAGAGCGAGCAAATGCGACTCGGCGGCGGCGGAGAGGAGCCCTGCCCACAGCCGGCGCCTGTGCGGCCCCCCCCCGGCGGCGCCCTCGTCGCGGAGCGCGTCGAAGGCGGCGCTCAGCACCTGACGAGGGGGGGGAAGCGTGAGCAGCAGCCCGGCACTCCATTCCGCGCCGGGTGGCGGCGGCAAGTACCTCCTCGCGCGCGCTCGGCACGGAGCCGAAGAGCTGCAGCAGCAGGAAGAGGGGCCTCACCTACCGCAGCGCACTGTCTTGTATCAGAAAGAGTGTCGTGCAGTAGGGAGAGGGGCCGCACCTCCGACTCGATGGCGAATCGCTGATTACTAATGACTAATGGCTAACTACTACTCATCAGCACCTCCGACTCGATGGCGAATCGCTGATTACTAATGACTCATGGCTAACTACTACTCATCAGCACCTCCGACTCGATGGCGAATCGCTGATTACTAATGGCTAATGGCTAACTACTACTCATCAGCACCTCCGACTCGATGGCGAATCGCGCGCCCTCCTCTCCCCGTCCGCCACCGCCTCCCCCGCCGCCGCCTCCAACCGCCAGAGCGGAGGGCGCCGCCGCCGCCGCGCCGGAAGCTGACGGCAGCGCGATCGCGAGCAGGAGCTCGCAGTGCGGGCGGAGGGCCTAATTCATGATCGACCAATGAGGAACGATCAACGACTAATGAGTATAGCTCGCGGCGCGGGCCGAGGGCCTCGAGGCCGGCTAGGCCCGCGAGCAGGCGGCGGGTCGCCTGAGGGGGGGGGGAACCAGCTCGCTGGTCAGTCCGCCCGGCGAGGCGACGCCGCGTGTGCAGGAGGCGGGGGAGTCCTCCCAGCGCCGCTCGCAGGGGGAGCCGTCGCGGCCCGCTGCTCTGCCGCCCGCAGCTGCTCTGCCGCCCGCCGCTGCCGTGCCGCCGGCCGCACCGGCGCCGGCCGCGGCGAGGGCGCCGAGAGCGGCCCAGTACCGGCGCACGAGCGGCGCATCACCGCCGCCGCTGCGCGACAGCAGCAGCAGCCACACCGCGAGGTGGCGCAGCGGGTGGCGGAGCGGTGCGGCGGCGGCGGCGGCGTCAGCCGTAGCATCGGCGTGGGCGGCGGCGTGGGCGGCGGCGTGGGCGGCGGCGTGGGCGGCGGCGGCGGCGGCGGTGTCCATGTGCTCGCTCAGCGCGGCGTGGAGGTGAGGCGAGTGCTGCAGCGAGTGCTGCACGAGCCAGAGGAGGTCGGGCAGGAGAGGCGCGTCGACGGCGCTCGCCACCGCCAGGAGAAGCTCGCACCTGTGTCCCACGCAGAGGCGCGGAGGGTGAGCGAGCAGCTCTGCGGCTTCTCCAGCCGCCGCGAGGCGCGGCTCGCACCACGACGGCGCAACCGCCTCCGCAGGCGCCGCCGCGGCCGCCTCGGCCTCGGACGAGTCGGCCGGACCTCCGCCGCCTCCCCCCTCGCCGCCGCCTGCCTCGCCGCCGCCTGCCTCGCCGCCGCCTGCCTCGCCGCCGCCTCCCTCGCCGCCGCCTCCCTCGCCGCCTGCCTCGCCGCCTGCCTCGCCAGGTGCGAGCGTGGCGATGGCGAGCAGCTGCTTCGCGACGCCGAGCAGCTGCGGCTGCAGCGCCTGCACCGCGCCCGCCCCTCCCCCGTCCACGGAGAGGTGCCGCACGGAGAGGTGCACCCTCCTCCGCAGCGCCGGCAGCAGCCTCGTCGGGAGGGGCGAACCCTCGAGCGCAGACAGCAGAGGCGCGAGCAGCTCGAGCGGCCACTCGCGCGCCAGCAAGCCGCGCAGCACAGCCTCGCTCGGCGGCTCGCGCGACGCGAGAGCGCCGCCTCCACCCCTGCCCCCGCCCCCGCCTCCTCCGCCTCCGCCTCCGCCTCCTCCGAGCCCCAGCGCCTCCTCGAGCGCCGCGCGGCCGGCGCAGCCTCGGGTCGGAGAACGAGGAGGAGGGGCGTCTCGAGCGGCGAGCGCGTGCGAAGCGTCGAGCGCACGCAGCAGGAGCGGCAGCAGGCCCAGAGCCGTCGCGTGCCCTTCTGCGTGCCACGTCCCTGCGGCGCTGCCCCGCCTGAAGAAGAGAGGCGGCGGCGTGAGAGGCGGGGCGGGCTGACCGCTGGGCCCCTCCGGCGCGAGACACCCTCCGTCGGAGCTCCTCTCCGCCCGCTCCAGCACCGGACAGAGCACGTCGCTCAGCAGTCGCCGCGGCTCGTCGCCATCGACCCCGTCGCCGCCCTCCGCCTCGCCGTCGCCGTCGTCCTCGCCGTCGCCGTCGTCCTCGCCGTCGCCCCACGAAGGGCCCCACACGGACGCTAACGACGGGAGCGCCGGCGTCCCACCGTCGTGCAGGCGCCAGCCGTGTGTGATGGCAGCCCGCAGCTCGCTGGCGCAAAATAGGGCAGCGCGGCCCTCGAGCTCGCCCGACTGTATGCACCGGACAGCCTCGCGCGCCGCAGCGCTGCGAGAGGACCGCCGCGCGAGGCTCGAGCGGAGACGGGACGGCTCGGGGCCGGACATGGCGGGAACTGGCCGCTCGCGCTCAGGCTGCTGAGTGGAAATAAAAGAAAGAAGCGTGTTGGTTTGAAGAAAGGCACACGGTACTATCGGGCCACCGGAGAGTCACCGGTAAACTTCGACACTTTGAGGGGTGAGAGCGTGCATTATTGTGGCATATCATGTCACATAAGGTCGAGCTTGACCGCAGAAGCATCAAGAAGCGGATACTCCAGCTCGACTGTGCCGGCAAACTGCCTCCTCACGCCGGCCGGCTGCCAGCAGCCGTCGCGGCCCGTGGCGTGCTCCAGAGAGGGAGAGAGGTCGAGTCCGCATGGCTCAGGCCGGCCAGAAGGTGTGTGGCGACGGCACCGTGGCAGGAGTGCGGAGAAGAGCTCGCCGAACGCGAGCAGCGGAAGGCCGAAGTGTGCCAGCGCGAGAGCCTCGCGAACGGGTGCAGAAGGAGCTCGCCGTGACACGATGCCGGGCGGTGGTGGTGCTCTGGCGGCTGTGCACAGTGGGAAAGGTCAGGCTGCAACAGCGTAGCACGATGGTAGTGCCCCGCTGCAGCCTGGCCTGACATGCACAGGGCGAACAGAGACCTTGCTATCGCCTGGCGCTCGTCTGGGCAAACTTTGACCGCCGCCCGGCTCGCCACGAGCACGCAGCGACAAAATGATGACCGTGTCGAAGTTGAGGCTGGTCGAGAGGAAGAGGCTGCCGTGCGAGCCGGCAACTGGCTGGCTCGGCGTGAACGGCCGGCGGCGACTTTTTGCCGAAGAGCGTGCCTGCCGAAGAGCGAGTCTGACTCAAAGTGCACGGAGTGGGCGCCGCCGACCGTCGGGAAGAGTCCGATGGGTGCCAGGAGGATCCATAGAGCGATGAAGGCGCAAATTGCGCCGCCGAAAGCGGCGGTAGAGGCCAGGACGTGCGCGTGGGCCGGTCGGGCCACGACCCGGGGCGAGCGATCGAGGGCCGCGGGGCTCGCCCCGCCGGCCGAGCGGTGCGAACGGCCGGTCGCCCGCTTCGGGTTGGACCCGCCGGGCGGTCCGGCGGCGGATTGCATGGCCGGGCGGGCCTCCGGGAGGCAGGCGGGGCCGCGACAGCGGCAGGGCAGAAAATCCCATTCGGAGAGCGTGTGGTCCGACCCCTCTGCTACTTTCAATGATAGGGATTTTAATAATGAAGAATTCTTAAAATACAAGCCTCTCTCACAGCACACTGGCACGACAAGGGCGCGGACTGGCGCGGACTGGTAATGAAGAAATAGCCCGGAATTTTAGAACTAAGCTGTCTCTCAGGGAGAGCACGACGAGAAGGGGGCGACCGCGAGGTGGCACGAAGGTTGCAGCGAGAATCGGAGAGAGACTGCGAAGAGAGATAGGAAGAGGCGGTGTCGCGGGGGAAGGTGATCGCACCAGAACCCGCGTTGAATCGAGAAGGGAACCCGAGATTGGCCTCCGCCGCATTTAGATATCGTGTCCAGTTGTTGAATTGTGTCGGCGGGCCGAATGTCGTTTCACCTCTGTCGTTGGTCCTGGGATCCGGGTCAGCGTGGTTGTGAGAGCCCCGTGTCCATGAACAAAACTACCCGTACAGCGAGCTCGTCTGAAGCGAGTCCGCGGGTGGAAACCAACCCTCCAGTGGAGAGAGCAGCGCCCATGCCAGGGGACGCGCCTCAGCGGGAACCCGGGAAGAGGACCGCCGCAAGCGGCGTGGCGTGGAGCGGTTGAGCATCCCTCCGGGGGGCCCTCTGCGCCGGGGAGGCGTTGTTGGAGGCTAGGACGCAAGCGTCCGTCGCCCTTTTCAAACTCGGGGCCCACTCCGCTACGCTCCGACCCGAATTTGGAGGGCCTAAAAGTTTAAGGTGTTGCTGCGCAAAAGGGGTCGGACACAGGGCGCAGCTCATGCTAAGAGCTAGAAGGGGAGCTAGAGAGAACGACTACCCTGTCCCGTTATTGCGTACACCAACACCACAAAACGCTCTCTCTCCTGTCCTCACTCAGAGGGGGGTCACAACTACCGAGTCTCTCGACTAGCTGCCACGTTGCCGACGGCGAGAGCGGATCTCCTCCTGCTCCGCAAGGAGGGTGGCCAAGGCTAAAGTCTTGCCGGAGCCGCCGGGCGTGTTGACGACTTGGAGAAGGTCGCCCTTGTACTTGTACTTGTAGAGATGCTCGAGGGGGTGCTTTGTGGGGCGATGCGCAGCCAGGCCAGCAGTGAGGGGAGGCGCACCCTCACTCTCCTCGGTTGCAGAGCTCGTCGGAGGCTGCGTCACGACGGGAGGGTCGCGACAGCAGTCCTCGGGCGAGCCGACGCGCATGTCCAACCAGCGCTGGGACTCGTTGTGACGGCAGACGCCAGCTGCCTCTCCAACCGCTTCTGCAGCGTCCTTCTTTGCCCGTGCATGGGCTCGATCCGATTCCGCAGCGTGTCGTCCCCAGCGGCGGTGCTGCGCGGGAGGCGGCCGCGGGCACGCTGGGCTCGCTACAAGGCCGGCGGGCCTGCCGTGTGTGACTGGGTGCGTGGGGGATGTGAAGAAGGATGCCGAGGGCAAGTGGATGAAGCCGTGCGTGCTATGTCCGGCGCATCTCGGCTGGCACGCCAAGGTGCTGCAGGCGCGCGACGCATGCGTCCCAGCTAGCGAGCTGCACAGCCCAGTCTTTTCGACGGTGGCGCGATTCGAAAATGTGCCGGCTGGGGCGAGCTCGACGCCACGACGGAGAAGGTCGGCAAGCTCGTACTGGTGATTACGCGCGAGCAGGAGGAGCAGGGGTACATGTACGATGCATCGCTGCCTTTCGAGGTGAACGGCAGGAAGCTGCGCCCCCCTCCGCGGGGAGTGTGGTTTGCGGTGACGGGCAAAGGCTACGCTGCTCACGCTTGGGCGTCGGCGGCGGGCGTGACACATAAATCCGGTCTTCGAAAAGAAAGAAATAGCCGGCAAAGAGTTTTAGAACTAAGCTCTGTACCCACCTGTTGTATCCAGTCTCATCTTTTCCACACCTCCACCCACACCACCCAGACCTTCCCCTTCCAAGAAACTGACTCCGCCCTCTCCACCCATGAACAGTCCTTTCTCCTCGTCTTTCCCCGATGTCGAACTTTGTAATTAGCATTTTACGTATGTGTATAGGTGGTATGCCATGTCCATCCGCAAAACCAGCTGGCTGGTCTAGATGGCTACCTGACCACTCACTCCGCCACCGGCTTCGGGTTCGAAACCTGTTTGCCCCCTCCATCGCCTCCCATTCCTCTCCCCACGCGCGCGCACGCCACGCCCCACGCTCCCCGCAGCCCGCAGCCCGCAGCCCGCAGCCCGCAGCCCGCTGCCCGCTGCCCGCTGCCCGACTCCCGAGTCCCAGAAGCCCCATCACCCTGCTCGTTTTTTGTAGCAGCAGGTCCCCACCCATTACGCATCGATGATTCTGCTCCACAAAAACTTCGTCGCTCTCTTGGTCCATCTCTGCTCCAGTCCTCGCTGCTTTCCACTGGTTTTTTTATCTGTCGCCTGGTCCACAGGATGTGTCTCCACGCAGCTGTTGGTGCTGTCCCCCGGTAATGAGCCTTGCTGCTTCGCCTGTGGTACACCCCTCGAGTCCCATCTGACCCTTGATCGCCCGCGCTCAAAGGAGGCGGATCGAGAAGGCCACCGGACATCGTCCATCAATCAAAAAACACACATTGTCGAGAAAAGAAATTTAGCCCAACTCGCGAAGGTAAGAATATCTAATTTTTTGTGTGTTTTAAGAACAAAATTCTTCTTCCCTCGCTCGTGTAAAATCCCTGTGTGGTGGCGGCGTGCCGCCCTCCCATCCCTCCCTTGGGTGCACTTGGCTTCTCTGTTTTCTTTCTTTCTTTACATTCACTCAAAGGCAAAGCGCGGACGAAGCCGTCGTCCTCCAGAAGCATGTATGTATGTAGAAAGATGAACAACAGTCAGGCTCGGACTGGACACCAACGCGGTATGGGTGGACGCGGGACAGATGATTACGAAGCAGAAAAAGAAATTGATGAGCCTCCAACACTCGACCGCCTCGCCGCCCTCGCCGCAGCCATCACCCCCCAGTTGCCCATGGTGTTGTCGGCGCTGCCCATTTTCGCGCTGTCGCTCTACGCGCGCTGGCAGCCGCTCCGCCCGGCCGCTGCGCGCTCGCCTCAATGCACGATGCTCGACCACGAGGGCTGGATGCAGTACGCGGTGCAGCTGTCCGAGCGCGGGCGGCTGAGCACAGCGCCCAACCCGTGGGTCGGCTGCGTCATCGTCGGCGGCGACGGCGGCGTGCTCGCCGAGGGCTTCCACGAGCGCAAGGGCGGCCCGCACGCTGAGGCCGCCGCGCTGGCCGCCGCGCGCTCGCGCGGCATCACGTCCGAGCAGATGGCGGAGGCGTGCTGCTACGTGACGCTCGAGCCGTGCCACCGCGGGCCGGGCAAGACGACGCCACCGTGCGACGAGGCGCTCGTCGCGAGCGGGCTGCGCGAGATCCACATCGCGGTCCTCGACCCCGACCCGGCCTTTGGCGGCGGCGCGGCGCACCTGCGTGAGAACGGGATCTGCGTGACGGCCCAGCACGCGGCGGCAGGGCGGTGCCAGCACGGTGCCCCTTCCGCGAGCCTCGTCTGAGCCGACGTGTAGGTCGGCACGGGCGCGAAGGCGGTGCTCGCCTCGCTGCGGCCGTACCTCCACCAGCGCCGCTGCAAGGCTCCGTACGTCGTCCTCAAGGTGGCAAGCACGCTCCTACCCTTACCCCAGCCCTAACCCCAGCCCTGACCCTGACCCTGACCCTTGCCCCTGACCCTGACCCTGACCTTGACCCTGACCCTGACCTCGTGGTGCTCAAGGTGGCCAGCACGCTCGACGGCGCAATCGGCTGCGAGGACGGTCGCGGTGGATCACGCGGGGAGGACACGTCCACGACACGTCCATGACCTGTCCGAGACATGTCCTGCAGGCACCTCGCAGTGGATCACGGGTCCCAAGGCGAAGGAGAGTAGCCGGCCGAGGCGGGCCGATGCTAGCAGCGCGTCACGCGGGGCCGAGGCGAGGAGGCAAGGTGCGGAGCTCTCCTCACAGGGGAGGGCTGTGCGGGTAGGCGAGGAGGCACGCGCAGCTACTGCGCGCGTCCTCCCAGGCGATCCTGGTCGGGTCGGGGACTGCTTCTCGGACCTTTCCTAGACCTTTCCTGGAACCTTCCTGCAGGCGATTCTGGTCGGGTCGGGGACTGCGGTGGTGGACGAGCCACGTCTCACGCTGCGGCTCGAGGACGAGGGGCTCCTCCCTCCCGGCTGGGCTGCACCGCCGAAGCCGCCGGTCCGAGTGGTGCTGGACGCGCGCGGCCGGCTGGCGAGAAGTTTCCAGCAACTTTCTCGGAAGGGGCGGCCGAGCCCTCCGCGAGCCTTCTCGGAGCCTTCCCGCAGGCGAGGGGGGCCCTCCTCGACACGGCGGCCGCACCGACGCTCGTCTTCACCACCGCCGCCGCTCCGGCCGAGGCGAGCCTCGAGACGGACCCGAGGTCGAGCCGAGGTCGAGCCGAGGTCGACCGAGGTTAGGCGCTCTCGCGCTGGTCCGATGCGGGCGTCGACGTGTGCGTGGTCGGCGCTGGGCGGGGCGGGGGCGTCTGCCTCGAGGAGGTGTTGCTCGAGCTCGGGTCGCGGGGCACGCTGCAGCTGGCGCCGAGTGCAGAGGGCGAGGGAGCTCCCACGCACTTGCCAGGAGCCTTCCGATAGGAGTGCTGCAGCTGATGGTCGAGGGCGGCGGCGCCGTCATCGGCGGCTTTCTGGCCGAGGGCACCGCGAAGCTGGCTAGCGGCTCTGCTTGCGGCGGTCCGTCGAGAGCCTGACGCCTTCCGGAGCCTCCCTCCAGGCGCCGCGCAGCAGCTGCAGCTCTATCTCGGGGCGACGGCGTTGGGCTCGACAGCGCAGCGCTGGATCAAGGCGCCGCTCGCTTCGACCAAGGCAGTGACTCACATTTGTCTACTCACGCGAAGGGTGAGTGAACAAGGCGCCGCTCGCTTCGACGATGGCGGAGGCGCGCCGCGCGTTTGCCTCGTTGCGAGCGAGGCATCCTCACCACCCGTCTCGAAACCCTCTCGGAACCTGGACTCCCCCCTTTTCCAGGCGCGCCACGCGACGCTCCTCTCGACCGAGGTTCTCGGAGACGACGTCTGCCTCTGCTACGCGCTCGGAGAGGGGGAGGTGGGGGGGGAGGTGGCGGCGAGCGGAGAGTGACGACGGCGCGGAGGCGTGTGACAGGCGGAGTTACATTACATGACTGGTTCCCACGCTCTGAAAGTGGCGAACCCTGCGAGTCCGCTGAAAAGTGTGTCGCTGAGTAGTGTCGCTGGGCAGCCAACGCGCTCGTCGGTGACGGTGTCCTCCAACCTGCGCCACGCTCGGCGAACCCCTCGACAGCGCCTTCGGTGGCATGCACGATGCAGCTCTCGTTTGCGCCTGAAGCCTGGAGTGAAGCTCCTCTGCTGCTCACACACTCTGCACAGATGGCACAGCCCACTGAGCACTGTGCGGCTGCCACAGCTGTCACAGCGATGGCCGATGGGCTCGCCCTCACTGGCCCTCAGTCACTTGTGCTGCGGCTTGTGTGACTCTGTGAGCGACACTGCTCGGGCCTCGGCGACTGCCGGCACACTGTGAGACCATCGCATGGGTGTGAAGGTAAAACCACGCTACCAGCGCTTGGTCACATCAGCCCTGAGGTCATATCCTTCTCCTCTGTTGATGGTAACACTTGTCTACTCGCTGGAGCCGAGCAGGAGGGCTTGGCGCACAACCCCTGTGCAACTCAGGGTCCTTGCCCTTTATCTTGTCATCATGGGAGATGGACGACCTGCGGACGAGAGGGCATGGACCACACGCTCCACGGCGTTATACGGTAGACGTGGCCAAACAAAATAGTGGTGCACTAACCTCCGAGAAAGAAACCCTTCGGGTCGCTCCTCATCGCAAACCCTGTCAGCAGAGTCCTCCTACGGGAATGTACGTAAGAGCCACATACACTGAGAGAGAGAGAGTTTCTCCCAGTAAGCTAAAAGTACGTACACTGAGAGAGAGAGTACGTACACTGAAAAAGGTCCATGAAGATGATGTGATGTCACAAGGACGCACGTCGTCAAGGATCACGGATCAGACGCATCGTCGTTGATTGTAATAGTCCACGCACCGCGAGACAAGGCGCTCGCCCGTCCCACGCCAGCCACACACTGGCTACTCGTTCGTGTCCAAGCCTCACCGCCACCGGCGCCCCGCTCTGAGACGCGCCCGGCCCTCCCGCCTGCAGACATGGCTGCTCCATACCCTGTTTGCGAGGAGGTTGAGCCGCAGGCCGCCGCGATTGAGGAGGTCAAGACCCGCCTCAGCAAGTCCAAGCCCGTCGACCTCTCTGCCTTCTCCTGGCTGCAGTGGTCGCCGCCCGCAGACTCCAAGTGCGGCCAGGCTCTCTCTCGCTGCTTCCCTGGCGCCCTGCCTGGGCCAGCGGTGGTTGCTCGCATGAAGGTGCTCGAGAAGCTGTACGGTGCGCTGCCGCCCGGCCTGCTCGCAGGCGTCTCGCTCTCCACCACCTAACCACTTCATTTGCCCGCTCAGGCCTGACGCCGGAGAACACCATCTACGGCCAGTCGATCTGCCCAGACGAGATCAACAACGAGAAGGGCGACCTGGCGACGCTGATGGCGGACCACTCCCCCCCCAGTCCTCGTACTCGACCACACCTCCCATCCTTGTCCCAGTACTCGAGCTATCATCCTCATTCCTCATCCATACCTGACCCTCCACCTCCACCCGATTGCCTTGCCTCGCGATCTCTGTCCCTCACCTCGGCGTACTTGTGTCGTCTCTCCTGTGATGCCTGGCCCGCTTCCCAGACACACACACACACCACCCTTCTGACTCCCACTCCGATCATGACACCGATCATGTGTGCTCCCAATACACGTGCAGATGAGAGCTGCAGAGAGTTTGTTTTGAATCTCAAAACAAATTTTGGTTTTGACAGCGTCGGGGTTTTCTTTTCTTCAAGCATCAAGGCGCTTGCGTTGGTCCAGAAAACGCGGCAGCTAAGGTCCTTTGGCCGAGGTGCAGGTACCCTCCTCGGCTCCTCGGTAAACACAGGACGTCGCAGCGGCGCGCGCTCAAACCATGTCATCTGCGTCCAGTCGCCACGCGCCCGTCAGGCCGCGCTCCTTTGCCGACCTCGTTCCGGACAAGTGGCAGCCGGGACTGCAAAAGGCTGGAAAGGTGGTTGGGACGCCCACGTGGATGGAGGAAGTCACAACTCTCTGGAAGGAGCAGCCCGTCTCCGAAGTCGCCAACCGGGCCGTCTTTGAATTCGTGTCGCACCTGCCGAATCTCTTTCAGTCGCCGCAGCCGCCACCCCCCTCTCCGCCGCCGCCGCTGCCTCCACCTCCACCGTCATCGCCGCCGCCGCTGCCGCCCCCGCCGCCTCCACCCCCGATGCCTCCGCCGCCATCGTCGCCTCCGCCGCCTCCGCCGCCGCCTCCGCCTCCGCCGCCGTCACCGCCGCCGCCGCTCTCCCCGCCGCTCTCGCCACCGCCGTCTCCGCCACAGCCGCCGCCAACTCCACCACCGCCACCCCCTCCGCCGCCTCCTTCGCCGCCGCCGTTGCCATTTCCGCCGCCCCCTTCGCCTCCGCCGCCCTCGCCTCCACCCTCGCCCCGCCCGCCCCCCAGCCCTCCGGCAGACTGTTTCTACGAGTGCGGCGAGGCAGGCGCGAGCCGGACGCCTCCGGGAGACACTTCCCGGACACTTCCCAAAGATCTCATGTAGCCCGGACGGAGATTCCACCGGCACCCACCCCTCTCTCTCCCCACCAGGCGGTGTCTGCGAGGACGTGTGTGGTGTCGGAGGCGCGCGACACGGCTCCGCGCCCGCAGTACCTTCGCTCCTCTCTCCCCTTCCTTCCGCCCCCCCCCTCACACGCCCTCCTCGGGAGCAGGCGCCTGCTGCAGGAGCGGCTTCCCCGCCCCCGCCTGCCCGGAGGTCGCCTGCGACGGCTTCCACTGCTGCGTGGACGCCGCGCACCTTCCTCCGCCCTCGCAGCCGCCTCCCGCCTGCGAGTGCCCCAAGATGTTTCCGGTCTGCTACGCGCCGGACGCGTCCTGCTACCACACCGCCGGGTCCTTCTTCGCGGGCGACCGCCTCGCAGAGGGTGGAGCTCGCCCCTCCGACCTCCCTCCTCCTCTCACCGCTGTCGACTGTGCCTGTGGTGTAGGGGATACCTGCCGGTGGGAGTGCACCTCCGACTACATCCCTCCGCCGCCGTGAGCACTCGAGCGGCCTCCTCCCCCCCTCTCTCCCTGCCGGCTCCTCACGCCCCGCTCTTGCGAACAGGCCCTCGACGGGCGGGTGGTGCCTCCCCCCTTTCTGCAGCCACCTGGCCCGCGAACCGGAGGCGGCCCACGCACCCGCCCTCGGCGCGGGGCCGGCGGCGGCGCGGCGGTCGTGGGCCGCTCTCTCCGCCGCTCTGGCGGCGGCGGCGGCGGCGGCGGCGGTGTGGCGGCGGCGCCGGCAGCAGGCCGCCGATCACGGGCGCGCGCAGCAGCTAATGTGAGAGCCGATGCGTGCGCTCGCGGCCCCATTGCGCCATAAAAATTAAATTCGAGATGCGCGCGCTCCCGCATCGCTCATCGGCTCCCGTGTCCCGTCGGCTCGCTCTCCTCGGCGTGTGTGATGTCATGTGTGCGCATTGTTCACCGTTTCCCTGGGCACACCTGCGCTGTTTGCGTGTGTGATGAGTGTGCTTGTGAGTTGTGTGTCAGTGACAGTGCGTGTGGTGTGTGTTCTGTGCGTTGTGTGGTGGCTGAGCGCACCCAGCGGGCCGGATGATCGGGATCGGGTTACGGGCAAGAGAGCCCTAGCCCCGGGGGTGCGCGTTCGCAGGGAAAGGGCCGTAAAGTAAACACGGGTCTCCGAGGGTTAGTTCCGTGTACCGGGTTTCCCCTTAACTGCAGAACGCCCCCTCTACTCGGAGCTAACGGACACACAACACTGTACTCCACGTACGTACACGGATACGCCTCATAGAGTATGCGCCCGCCCGACTCCGGTCCCAGAGGGTACCCCAGAGTCCCTTCCTTCGCCTGTCGGGGCGAGCCCTCGGCTCGTCCCGGCCCCTTGCTCGCCTTCCGGGCGTTACCAGACTGCCTCTGCAGTCGTTTCTGATGCCTCTTCTTCGGCTGTGGCCTCGACTCCGCTTCGCCGGCTGGTACCGCAGCCTCCGAGAGCGTCGACGGCCCGGCCGGGGTCGCCCCGGGCGAGGACGGTGGCATTGGGTCACACCCACTTCCACCCCCGGGGGGTCGAGCCCGCTCTCCCTGGTCGGCGAGTCGTGCCCGCACCCGCGGCCTCTCTATTGTCCTCGGCTCGCCCCCCCCCTCCGCCGGCTCCTCCTCAGGCTCGGGGAGGCGCGGCCCTCCCTGTCGGAGATCACGGTGACCCGGCTGCCACCGCGACGGGTCTCCCCCCGGTGAGCTCGTACGTCCCGACTCTACTCGCATAGGCCGCGTCAGCTCATCTCTCGCCTCCTCCGACAGCTGACCCCAAGCCCCCCCCGGGGCCCTCCGGCCTCGGCCCTCCGGCTCGCCGGCGGGTCCGTTATCGTATTGCGGCAACTCCCCTCCCCCCGCTCCTCCTCCCGGGTGCTCCAGCCTCCGGCGGGGCGGTTCCGGACCCCCTCGGTTATTCCAAGCGGGTCCATACGGTGGCGGCCCCGCCGACGGCGCACGGCGGGGGTGGAGGCGGTGGCAGGGGCGGCGGGTACGGTGGTGGCCCTCGCGGCCCAAACGCCTGGTGTGGAGCCGCTGGGGCGGTCCCACGACCCTGCAGCCGTTCCAGTGGCGGGGGCGGAAGTGGCAGTGTGGGTGGCGGAAACGATGGTGGCATTGGCGGCCGCACCGCCTGGTGTGGAACCTCAGGGGCGGCTCCTCGACCCAGCGGTCGCTCCAGCGGCGGGGGCGGAGGCGGTGGTGGCGGGGGCGGGCCTGGTGGCGGCGCCGGCCGCCGCAACTCCTGAGGCGGGGCCTCGGGGGATGCCCCCTGCCCCTGCGGCCGTTCCAGCCGTGGTTCCACGCGTCGGCCGTCCACCCCGCTCGTGGGGGGGGGCCTAGCTCTCGTTTCCCCTCGGGAGGGGGGGGGGGCAGGACCCGGATTCGCCGACGGCCCCGCCTCTCCTTCCCGTCGCTCCGCGACGGGTCGTAGACTGCCCAGTAGCCGCGTCGCCTCCCCCCTCGACCGGTCCTCCTCGATTCGGGCCCGCACCGACCGGATATCAAAGGCCGAGTTGTGTTCAGACAGCGGGCCCGCCGATGCCACCCGCCTCTTCACACAGCAGGCGTACGCCTTCATCGCTTGCCCCCCCGACTGTGTCGGCCCCGGTGCGATGTCGTTGACGAGGTAGTCCTCCCCCTCCCACCGGAAAACCTGTCCAAGAAGGTCCGTCGAGCCAACCAGTCGTTTAGCTAGGCCCCGCACCTCCCGTGCCTGCACCGGCCTGAGAACGCCGGTGCTGACCGCGAGCGACAGACCGATCGCCCTAAGCTCCGCCAGGACCGCCCTAGGGACCGCCTTCTCGCCCGCCGCCGCGGCCGCCCGATCCATCGCGGCCTCTCGAATTGCCTCCTCCCGTCTTCTCGCTCTGTCCTCTGTCTGCCGCCGGCACGAACCTCATCGGGCTGCCTCGTGCCCTTCCTGGCAAGATCCGCGTCGGGGCCGGCCGATCCACCGGTGCCGCCCCGGCTCGGGGTGCGCTCGCCTGTTGCGACGGCTGCGCCCCCCCCCTCGCCGCCCCCCCGTGTCCTTGTCTCCTCTTCTCCCGGACCACAGGGGCAGCTGCACTTGGAGCACTTGGAGTGCGGTCATTAGCCTCACATCCAGGGCCGGGGAGCGCCGAACTATCGCGCCAGTCCGCGCCAGTCTGCGCCCTTGTCGTGCCAGTGTGCTGTGAGAGAGGCTTGTATCTTAAGGTGGTAGCAAACCCTTGGCGCACGCATATCTTGGATGGCCGGCATGGGGCCTGAGGCGTCGCCCATGCTTGCCATGTGCAAGTAGATGGTAGAATGCACTAATAGGCACGTCGCGCAAGGTCGGGATCGCAAGTTATGCCCGCATCAAGCGCCGGTTCAGAGTCGTCCAGAGTCGTGGCACACACGCTGTGGCAGGCCGTGTAGCCACTGAGATGGCCTTATGACGACCCCATTTCGACATCGTCCCTAAGGCCTCTGCTCATGAGCTCCATGCGGGAATGACTGGCTCAATCAACTGATCACAAATTCCCACGATATCTCACAAAGCGCCAAAAGTCTTCATCGTGACAGCATAATTTGATGACTTCGATGTTGCAGAGAGAATTTGTGATCAGTTGGTTGAGCCAGTCATTCCTGCATGGAGCTCATGAGCAGAGGCCTTAGGGACGATGTCGAAATGGGGTCGTCATAAGGCCATCTGGGCAACCACACCGTCCGCCGTCCAGCACAATCGCCAGGGTGGCGAGCGCCGCACACAGCACTGCTCGTGCCGCGATCACGAGAGACGCGTGGTCACAAGCGCATCTAGCGCGTCGTTTGATACTGTCTGTCGGTCCCGGGTAGCCTCGGGCGGCAAGGGCGAGCTCAGGCGAGACACACAGCGCGGACGTCGACGCGCGCGAAACTTACGCGGCAAGAGATTGCTACCACCTTAAGAATTCTTTGTGGTCCGACGACGACGAGAGCAAGGCCAAAAGGGCAGACAGAAGCTTCACGCCGCGATGCTGCAACTCGACCAGGTTGAGACCTACCAGCTTCGATTCAAGGCGTGCGGCCACTGCATCACTCGTCCACGCGCCGCTCGCTCCCTGGCTCGCGCTGCGTCTCTGACGCCGCACGTCGGCCCTCCTTCCGCAGGTCGGCGACCGCGTCGAGTGCAACTGCGGCCGGTGGACGGCAGGGACGGTGGTCAAGCTGTTTTACACGCAGTCCACCTTCCCTGCCAACCAGTGCGCGCCCTACCAGATCCGGCTCGATGACGGCCGCCTCATCTTTGCTCCCGCCGACGAGGTGCGCCCACCCGCGCCCTGGCTGTGATATATCGCCGCCACGGGATGCTGACCGGCGTGGGAATGGGTAGCGGTGTCAGGCCCGGACCTCCGCACCCCGACGCCTCCTTCCCCTCCCACAGGACCGCGTCATCCGCGCGGCGCCCGTGTCTGCGCTTGCAGACGGCTCGGGCGCCGGGGCGTTTGAGGAGGAGGAGGAGTATGAGAAGGCGGACTCGGAGAAGCTGGCCGTCACCGTCGTGACTGGCTTCCTCGGCTCCGGCAAGACCACCCTCGTCAACTACATCCTCCGCGAGCAGCACGGCAAGCGGATCTGCGTCATCGAAAACGAGTTTGGCGCCGTCAACATCGACGAGGCGCGCGGGCAGAGAGAGGGGAGGAGGAGGGCAGCCCAGGGGAGGAGGAGGCAGCCGGGCTGGGGGGAGCGGAGATCGTGGGAGCGGAGGGCGGCGCGGTGGGAGCGGCGCCTCTCTCCCCTCCCCGCACGTGACCTCGCTCGCCCAAGCCCCTCGCCCAACCCAAGCCCTCGCCCAAGCCCTCGCCCAAAAGCCCTCGCCCGACCTCGCCCAAGCCCTCGCCCAAAAGCCCTCGCCCGACCTCGCTCGCCGCTCTGCCGTTCGCAGGCCCTCGTCAAGGAGAACCTCTCCTCGGCGGAAGAGGTCATCTCGATGGACAACGGCTGCGCCTGCTGCACGGTCCGAGGCGACCTGGTGCGCGCCCTCACGCAGCTCAAGGACCGCAAGGACTCCTTCGACCTCGTCCTCCTCGAGACGACCGGCCTCGCCGACCCCGCGCCCATCCTCGCGACATTCACGCAGAACTGGACCATCAGCAACAACTACCGGATCGACGGCGTGCTCTGCCTGGTTGACTGCAAGCACATCGCCGCCCACATCAACGAGGCGAGACGCAGCCGAGACACAGCCGAGACAGCCTAGAGACAGCCGAGATAAACCGACTCGGCTGCAGCGGCCCGAGGTGCCACGACCCCACCTCTTCCTCTACCCCTGTGCCTCCGCCTCTGTGCCTCCGCCTCACCGGGCACGAGCCGCTGCCAGGTGCGGCCCGAGGGGACCTTTCCTAGACCTTTCCTGGACCTTTCCCGGACCTTTCCTGCCAGGTGCGGCCCGAGGGGACGGTCAACGAGGCGGTGCAGCAGGTCGCCTTCGCCGACCGGGTCCTTCTCAACAAGCTTGACTTGGTGGACAAGGGCGAGCTGGGCGCTGTCAAGACGCTCATCCAGGAGGTGAACGCGTTCGCCGAGCTGATCGAGTGCCAGCAGTCGCGCGTGCCCGTCGACAAGCTGATGGACATGTGCGCCCTCTCTGCTGCGCCGGGGAAGAGGCTCGAGCCCGCCGGCGCCACGCGGCCACCACTCTGTGAGTAGGAACGCCTTCTCGATGGAGCGCTTCCAGGAGGAGATCGCGGAGTACGACCTCGAGGAGGACGCTGCTGCGGAGGAGTGCACCGACGAGCAGTGCGCCCTCCCCGCCCACGGCCACGCGCAGCACGACGCGCCTCACGGCCACGACCAGCACGCCGCGCCCGCCGCCGCCGCCGCCGACCACGCGCACGCCCCCGCCGCCCACGAGCACGGGCATGCACCGAGGCCCGCCGCGCCGGCGCACGAGCACGGGCACGCGGGGGGGGTGGGGGGGGAGAGGGAGGGGGCGAGGGAGGGGGCGAGGGAGGGGCAGAAGGCGAAGAAGCGGAAGCACGACATTTCTGGCGTCGGCTCGTTTGCGCTCCAGTCGGAGCACGCGCTCGACTCGCAGCTCTTCAACCGCTTCATGGTGCAGCTGCTGCAGCGCAAGAAGGAGGACCTCTACCGCAGCAAGGGCGTGCTGTGCTTCGAGGGCGAGGGCGACGCAAAGTACATCTTCCAGGGCGTGCACGAGCAGATCCAGTTCGAGCAGTCCAACACCAAGTGGGTGGAGGGCGAGCCGCGCGTCTCCAAGGTAGTCTTCATCGGGCGCGACCTCGACAGGGAGGAGATCGAGGCCGCCTTCCGCACATGCATCGTCCACGCGCAGACAGCGCACCCGCACTGAGTTAGGATGGCGGCGCCCTCGCCGCCGCCGGGTAAACAGCCGGTTCACACTATAATTTGCGCTACGCTACAGTCTCCTCGTCCTGTGTTACCTGACACCTCAGTCTGGTCTTGTCAGTATATGTGCTATGTCGCCGCATGAAATTTGTCCATGCCGTTTGGCGTTTGACAAGAAAGGTATAATTATCCATATCGTCAATAAAAAACAAAGCGCGCGAGGGTCTCTTTCTTGATCTTGTGTGTGGACTTCGGCCTTCGCGTCGAGGCTTAAACGATTCCCTCAATAATATACAACACAAAGCGTGTCTATTTCGCTTGGGCTTCGCTGTCGATTCTCGCTGCGGCCTGGCACGGCTTTGGCGGAAGCAGCTTCCCGTCGCGCACCTCCATGAACGCGTCGAAGAAAGCACCTCCCGCGAGATCGCAGAGCGCGTCGGCCGCCTCTCCCTCGCCCGCCTCGGGCATGCTGTCTGGGTGGTAGACGACCACAACGACGCTGTCGGGGCAGGCCGCGCGCAGCCTGCCCGCCACGAGCGCCTTGCTCCACGCCGAAAGGGGCGCGAAGAACTCGTCGAGCAGCAGCAGCCTCGGGCAAACGGGACGCAGCAGCACCGACCGCACCAGCTCCAGCTTGGCGCGCTGCCCGCCTACGGGACGGTTTTGAGACGGCTCCGAGACGGCTCCACCACCACCACCGCCTCGGAGCCGCGTCTCTGCCCGAGAGGGCGCCGCAGTAATCCTCGTGCTCCGCCATCAGCTCGGCAGCAAGGCTCTCCTCCTCCTCCCGCCTCCCCTCGCCGCCCTCCGTACCGCCGCCCGCCGCCGCGCCGTCGTCGCGCCGGCTCCAAAAGTGGAGCTCCGTGAGCAGTGCCGCGGCTCGCGCCGCCAGCGGAGCCAGCGAGGTGTTGCGGTGGGCGGAGGGGGCGAGCCAGCGGACGGGCTGGCAGGAGAGCGGGCAGTAGAGCCGCTGCGTCACCTGAGGAGCGAGGAAGTGTCTAGGAAGTGTCTAGGAAGTGTCGGGATCACCTGAGGGTCGCTCGACGGACGCTCTCGGGTCGCTCTCGGGCTGCTCCTGGGGCACTCTCGGACGTACTACACTCCTCGACGATGTCGTCGGCGGAGAGGCGCAGCTGCACGTCGCACTCGCCGGCCAGCGCCAGCCCGGCCGGCAGGGCCCCGCCGCGAGCGCACGAGGAGAGGAGTGCGAGGAGGCTGCTCTTGCCGCTCCCGTTTGGGCCAAACAGCGCGTAGACCGACGGGCGGAGCTCGACGCTCTCCCCGCCGCTGCCGACGACCACGCGAGAAGCGCCGCGCGTGAACTCGCACCGCACGCGCACGGTCGCTGAAGTGTCGCCGCCGTGCTCGTCACCGAAGCTGCAGCGGACTCGAGCTGCCGCCTGCGCCTCGGCGACCGCCGCGTGCAGCGCGACGAGCTCGACCGAGTTGCGGCGGACGGAAGCGAGCTGCGCCTGCGGGAAGGTTCCCAGAAGGTTCCTAGAGGGTACCCGGAGAGCTGCGGCGAGCGGAGGCGGGCTGCCTCTGCACGAGAGCGCGTGAGCAGCGTGTCGATCGAGTCCTCGATCACGCGCGAGTAGAGCCAGATCTCAGAGACTCCGACGTGGCCCGCCTGGAACGGATCAGGGCCGAGATGGCCCGAGATGAGCCGATCGTCCCAGAGACGCCAGGGGGGCGGGGTTCACACCTCGAGCAGCCAGGCGATGCCAACCTCAATCGACGGGTGAAGGACGTCCTGCCAGTAGAGCCAGCCGATCCAGTTGCGCAGCGCGTTGATCACGTGCTTGCACCGCTCCTCCGCCTGCGCCTGCAGCGCTACCTCGCCCCACCGCTCGCGCGCGAGCTCGAGCGAGCCGGCCGCCGTCAGCTGCGCCGCCTGCCGCAAAGGCGTAGGCGACGAGGCGTCTCGGAGTCTTCGCGGGTCATCTCGGCGTCCTGTCGGACTCCTCTCCAGTGATCGGGTCGTCGTGGCGTCCTCTCAAGCAAGTGACTCGCCTGCGCGAGGTCGTAGGCGACCACGCGCGCCAAGCGCGAGTCGGCGCGCTTCTCCGCCTTGCGGTGCTCCTCGAAGGCGTCGGTCAGCGCCGCGTGGAGCGCCGACTTGGCGGCGTCGAGGCCGAGGATGATCGGAAGCCCGGCGAGGGCGAGGCGCGGGTGGCGGAGGAGGACCGAGGGGAGTAGCGCCATCTTTGGGAGGGAGAAGAGCTTCCGCTCGGCGAGAGAGAAGATGGTGTGCACGCTCTCCTTGAGGGCGTCCGCGTGTGCGTCCAGCGTCAGGTTGGAGCGGGCCGTGGCGGCGAGGCTCTCTCCTAGAAGGTTCCTAGAAGGTTCCTAGAGAGTTCCTAGAGGGTTCCAGAGGGCCGTGGCGGCGAGGGCTCTCTCCGTCCGCGAGCACGAGCTGCCTTCTAGGAACCTTCTAGGAACCTTCTAGGAGAGACTCTCCGTCCGCGAGCACGAGCTGGACTGAGAGAGAGTACGTGAGCCGGTGGAGAAAGGTGCGCTCGAGGTGCGCGTTGATGGACTCCACGGCGGTCCGCTGCGCCAGGTAGGGGAGCCCGACCACGGCCATGAAGCGGAGGGCGTGCCTTCCGAAGTCAGCTGCGGATAGCTGCGGCGGGCCGCCCGCTGCACCTCCGCCGGCGAGGAGCAGCCTATCACGTCGCACAAAAAGTGATCAGAATCGCAGACTGATACTCACAAGCAGCCTCGCGAACGAGGCCGCCGGTTCTTCCGCTGCTGCGCCGCCTTGACGTACGTCACGCCCAGCTGGCCGAGGGCGAGCTGGCAGTGCAGCGTGGTGAGCGCGAGCGTCGAGAGGTGTGTCTCGAGGCTGTCGGCGCCTGAAGAAGGGCTCCTCCTAGAAGGTCCTGGAAGGTGCACAGAAGGCTCGGACAAAGGTGCGTCTCGAGGTCACCCAGGACGCGGCGCGCGGACGCGTGGGCGAGGCCGACCTCCTCGACGAGGAGCAAGTGGCGCACGGCCCGCCAGACAGCGCTGCCGTGCGACGCACAGACCGCGACGGCAGCAATGCTCGCCGAAGCGGCAGCCGGGCGCTCGAGGGCCATGGCAGCGAGCGAAGCTGCGGCTGGGGCAGCGGCGATAGCTGCAGCCGCGACTGCGAGCGCGCATCCGCCCGCGAGCGTGTGCTCACTCTCGTGTGCTTTGGTCAGAGCCGCCGCCGAGAGGCCGAGCAAGCCGCCGACCAGTCGCCAGCGCCAGGGCCAGAGGATGGCGATGCTCGCGGCCTGCGCCGCGGCCACGGCCAGCAGTCGCAACCACGTCCCGCAATGGTCGGCGAAGAGGGACAGAGCGAAAGCACCCACCGCAACGCACGAAGGTGCAGTGATCGCGAGCTGCTCGCCGTCTGATGAGCGGAAGCGGCAGCGAAAGTACGAGGCCGGGAGGAAGGCGACGGCAAAATCGCATGAGAGGAAGGAGACAGTGTGCGCTAGCAGGCCGGGCGTCATGCTCCACGAGAACGACAGTTGTGGACAGTAGGCTTTCAGGCTCTGTGGCAATTGCAGGGACTAACGAGCAGACGCTGGACTCGCCTGGGTTCCGGCTCCTACCTCCTAGGGGAGGGGTCGGGAGTCTGTTTGACTCGCACCAAAACGCCCTACCTACCTACCTATTGCATAGGGTCTAACCGTGGTGAACAGAGACCCCCTATCTGGCTAGGAGCCGGAACCCTGCCAGTCCAGGGTTCGGACTTTTGGGGGGTACTAGGGACAAATCGTCGAAGTGTAAAATCAACCCTCGAGTACACGGCTTACTGTACGTCCTCACAACTGCCCCGAGAGAGCACATGCAGCTGCCCCCTCCCGGCCCCTCCCCTCACCCGCGCGGTTCCTGCGTCGGCGGCGCTGCCGGGCGCTCGCCCAGCACCGAATGCTTCAGCCGGTGCAGCGCGACCCAGACGCCCACGCCGACCAGGGGCATGCCGCACCCGAGCGCAACCTCCGGCTGGACGGGCAGGTAGCCGAGTGTGTGCGCCGCCTTTGCGGCGTAGCCGAGGACGCCGGTGGAGTAGTAGGTGATGGCCACAACAGAGAGCCCCTCAACGCACTCCTGCAGCAGCAGCTGCGTGCGCGCCGTCTCCTTGAGCTGCTCGAGCTGCTCCACGTTCTGCGCCTGCTGCTCGACGGTCAGCCGCGCGCGGAGCAGGTCGATGGTGGTGCGGGAGGACGCGGCGACGGACGCGAGCCGCGCGGACATGGCGCTGCAGCTGCGCATCGCGGGCTGCAGCGCGCCCATGAGGAAGGACTCCAAGCTCGGCGCGCCTGTGGATCGTACCCGAGATGAGCCGAGAGAGCCCGAGGTTCGATCAGGAAGGGGCTCCCTCGCGCCCTCGAGCCGGCCCAGCCTCAGGAAGGAGACGCGGTCCTCGACAATCTTGGCGTAGGCGGCGGCGGCGGAGAAGCGGTAGCTCGCAATCTCTTGCACCCGCAACGCGGTGGCGGTGAGGCGCAGCAGACCGTCGAGCAGCCTGCGCTGCCCCTCGAGGTCGCACGCGCTCGAGCGGCGCAGCTCGTCGTTGACGCCCTGCAGCTGCGCCTGAGGACCAAGCCAGCCGTGTGCGTGAGTCCTCCGCTCCGCGAGATCTTTCGAGATCCGGACACACAATACGACTGGCGCCTGCAGCGCGTCCACACGCGGAGAGACGGAGCGCGCCAGCGGCTGCGCCATCAGCGCCAAGGAGCGGTACTTGTCCAGCTCGATCAGGCGCTGCACCACCTTGCCCGCCGCCGTGCGCTGCCCTGCGGCCGCCACCGCCAGGCCCTGCCGCACGGCGTCGAGCCCTCTGCCGCCGACGGGCGCGTGGTGCTGCCAGCGGGACGGGACCGCCTCGACGAGCCAGACGACCACTCTTAGCTAGTCGTCGATGAGTGGCTGGCTGACTGCTGATTCGCGCCTCGACGAGGAGCCGGACGAACCCGTCCTCGTGCGCGCGCCTACCTCCGCCCGCCCAGATTGCGCGAGATGCCTTGACCGAGGTGCAGCCGCCCTCGTGCCTCGGGGGTCATATCTCGGGCCCTCTCGGGCCCTCTCGGGCCCTCTCGGGCCCTCTCGCGCGCCAGTCGGTCGTCACCCGAAAGTCGCCGTCGTCGACACTCGCCGCCGTCACAAAGCTGGAGCGGTTGAAGTGCGGCGAGTACTGGCGGATGTCGATGTGCGTCGGGTGCGGAGGCTCGCGCGAGACGACGGCGATGTGCGTCGCGGCGACCACGCGCCCCGGCAGGGAGTGGAGCCACCAGGCCGGCACCGCGGAGAGCGAGAGGGAGGGCGCCTCGAAGAGAGGCGACCCCTCCTCCGGGAGGGGCCGCAGGAAGGTGTACGTGCTCACCTGTAGGGGACGCAGGAGCGGGAGAGCGTGGGAGGCGGCGGAGGCGGGAGGAGGGGAGGTGGTGGCGTCGTGTGCGGCAGGGAGAGGCGGCCTCGGTGTTTTGCTCCCAGCGCAGCCTGCCCGCGCCACCGAGGTCTGCCGTGAAGAAGGTGGCGGACGCCTCTGGCGGCGGGACGAGGAAGTGCTCGCAGAGGAGGGAGAGGTGCGAATGCTCCTCTCGCGCCTCCTCTCTGGTCCGGCCGACCACGCACGCGGCCTCGATGCTGCTCGGAGGCTCAGAGCGGGTGGCGCTGTCGAGAAGGTGGCGCTGCGAAAACATCGGGAAAACGACGCCCTCGAGCTCGAACGGCTCCTTGTGCGTGGTGGTGATCGCCGTGACGGCGCAAGGCAGTGCGTCCAGTCTCGGGAAGGGCCTTCCGTGGAGGACTCCGGCGACGTCCTTCCGCAGAGGGTGCTGCGAAATCGGATGATGCGAGGCGCGGGCGGCGACTGTGCAGACGCTACGCACCGAGCGGGTAGCGGCTCGGCTAGACGTCACCGTCGCTCGCATGTTGCAGCTCGGTCGGTTCTCCAGAGCAGTGTGCCAGCGGCCACCGCGAGTCTGACTCGAGATCCGGATTTGATCGAATTCGAGGCAATCGGCCTCAAGTACCCTCATCCACCGCTTTTCAGACGGTTCGTTGTGATTGTTTCGTGAATCGAAAAAATAAAGAAAACTTGGCGCGTTAGGTCGCGCTCCAGCGCGCCCCGGCCGACCTCTCCGAACAGCATGTCCTCTGACGGCTCTCCGCCGGCGTCGCCGCCGGCGCGGCGCGCGCCCAGCGCGCGCGCGTCCAAGGGCAACCGGATGGCGAGCCTCATCGCGCAGGAGGAGGACGAGCGCGAGGACGACGCGGACAAAGAGTTTTACGAGCAGGACTTTTGGGCGGACGCGGAGGAGGACGCGGAGTACGCGATGGAGGCGGACGACGAGGGCGCCGACTCCTTTGACTCCGACTTTGGAGACTCCAGCGAGTCGGACGGCGACGACGGCGAGGAGGAGGAGAAGGCGGCGCGCAAGGCGGCAAAGCCGAAGAAGCGGTCGGTGTATGTGGACCCGAAGGCGCGCGCGGACAAGCAGGCGGCGGGCGAGGGCGGCGCGGGCGGCGGCGCGGCGCCGCGGCCGCGCAAGCGCCCTCGCAGCGAGTTGGCTGGCCTCGACCCGATCGTCGCCCGCGGCTCGCTGCGCGCCTCGACAAAGGACGCGACGGCGCAGGCGCGTGACCGCTCCGCGCCGCCGCTCCGCCCGCGCGACGCCTCGCGGCCCCGCCACACCGCGGCCGCCCCTCGCACGACCTCGCCCCGCCGCTCCTCTGCCGGGTGGTGGTCGGGAGAGGAGCGATCCCCCCTCTCTCTCGCCCTCACGGTAGGCGCAAGAGAAGAGGCGGCAGGCGATCGAGCTGGCGGAGCGGCGCAAGGGGGAGGGGAGGGGGCAGGCAGGCAGGCGGGGCGTCGAGCTCGTCCGCCTCACGCAGGAGGAGATCCTCGCTGAGGCCCGCAGACCCGGCCTCGCCCACTCCGCCTGGCTGGCCATCTGTTTGAGCCGTCCCCCGGCCTTGCTTGCAGGCGGCGCAGACTGAGATCATCAACCGCGCCTCGCTCGAGCAGATGCTCCGCGTCGAGGAGGAGAAGCGGAAGGTGGTGGTGCGCGACCGCCGGACGAGCGGGCCGCGTGTGGTGACGAAGTCCACCCGCGAGGGAGACTCCGTCCGCACCTACGTCACCTTCACCGACGGACCGCTGCCGCCCGCCATCGACGACGTCGCGCCCGACTACCCGCCGCAGGTCAAGTGCGCCGTGACCGGGCAGCCCGCGCGCTACTTTGACCCGGCGAGCCGCTCGCCCTACGCGACGCTGGAGGCGTTCCGCACGCTGCGCGGCGAGCGGCGCGTCCGGCCCTCCGCGTCGTGAGCGTGAGGAAGGCGCGGAGCTCGCATGTGTGGGTTGCGGTGACATTTTTAATCTAGAACTGAGTGCCAGTTCGGAGAGCGCGGACAATGGGGCACTCGGCCGGGCGGGCTCCCGCCTGGCGGGGGTCATGCGTCACACTCACAGCACCTTTTACCGCCGGGTGCGACGAGAGCGAGAGTCGTCAGTCGTGAGTCGACGGAGAGAGAGAGCAGAGAGCGCGGAGCAATCCGTAACAGTGGAACCTACAATACACTAGACAATCACGACCGCAAAGCTAAGCCGCGACGCAGTGTGACATGCGCATGCCACATGCCACACACGAAGACGAACCGGTACTCGAGAACACACACTGACGGCACTTCTCTCTGCCAAAGAGAGAGTTCCTGCGCGGACTACTCGTGCACACGAAAGCCCTAGGTAGTTAACTAGACGCTCCGCGGTCCACGTCCTGCGGCGTGGGTGTCGCCCTCGTCCTTTTCAGTTCGCCACATGGCTTGGCGCTCCTCCTTTAGTTCGCCACTGGCTTCGCGCTCCTCCTTTAGGGAGGATCCCTGGCACTGCCACTTGGTTTTTTTCTTTTGACTTGCAGCAAGCCAAACTGTGGCCGAGTTCGCATGGCGAGATCTCGTCTCTCTCTGCCAAACAAAAAACTCTCTCTCAAAACAAACCAAAACAAACCAAACGAGTTTCCACGGGCCACCAGTGACGCCCATCTCTCCCTCCGTCTCGACACTCGAGTAAGTCGTCCTTTGTTTTGGTTTTAAGTTGTTATTGAGAAGAAAAATACCTCGTATAGTCTCATTTTAGTCAAGTGCTCGTATGACCCAAACAGACCTCTGAGCTCTCTGTTGTTGAGACGAAAATGCCCCCTTTCTTAGCTCCCACCCGGCCCTGGAGGCGTGCGGTTACCCCTCCCGGGCGGCCCCGGCGAATTTCGGAGACACTTTTAGCCATAGCGAGAGCGATACAGTAGGGACGCAGCGATGACGTCCCCTGAGTTCCTCAACTGCCCTCTACCGCCCGGCGTCGGCGCCTGTGACCTTCTCCAGCGCCGCCAGCTGCTGCGCGGCCGTGCAATCGCTCGGCTCGGCGAGGTATCCCGTGAGCGCGTAGACCCCCACCACGCCATTGTCTCCGCCTAGACAACACGCTCAGAGAGGTTACGCCCTCGTCTCATCGTGGGCGTGAAAGGGGCCAGAGGTGTCAAGCAGCGGTCGGTTATGGGCGACGGGAGAGAGGGTATCCGAGAGGTTGCTCGCACCCGCCACCAGCACGGGCGACGACGGCGCAAAGGAGACGCACGAGAGCCGCGTCCCGTCTAGCTGATCGGTGTGGATCGGGCTGATGGTGCTCTGCGCGAGGTCCCAGATGTCGAGCCGCCCGTCGCCCGTCGCCGAGGCAAAGATGGTCGCGCTGCTCGGCGACCACGCCACGTCGCTCACGGGCTCCGCGCTCGGCTGTGTGGCAGAGGCGGGGTGGTCAGCGAGGCGGAGGCGACGCGCAAGGCACGAGATGGTCAGGGTGGCAAACGGCGCGCACTGCACCCTGGCTGTGCCTCGGCTGAACACATGGCAGCGACTCCTGTTTCGGTCGTCTCTCGCTTCCCTCACTAAGCCACATCTCTCGCCTGGAAAGTAAAAAGCGCTGCCGCCTTCTCGGCGTCCCACAGCTTGATCGTCCAATCCGCCGAGCAGGAGAGGAAGGCGCCCGCACCAAAGGGCGACCAACGCACACGGTAGACGGGGCCGCTGTGCCCAAAGTAGTGCGCGAGCACCTGCTCGCGGCCAGCGGAATGTAGGGGGGGGTAAGGAGGGTGGGTGGGTGGGGTGGGGTGGGGTGGGGGGGGAGGCGGAGCGGGGGCGCAAGGCGCCTGCTCATTGTAGGAGCGCGAGCACTTGTGCACGTGCCCGTCCTCGGTGCCGGCGACGTACAGCAGGTTGTCGGCGGCGTGGAAGTCGAGACAGAGGCCCGCCGCGCGCCGCGAGATGGTGCCACGTACCGCTTCGCCCTGCCGCGCCACGCGCCGGAGGACCATCAGGTCGGTGTGCTCGAGCCCCTTCTGCACGTTCCACTGCGTCACCTGTGCGGCGAGATGGCGGGCTAGAAGGTGGAGGTGTGGTGGTGGCATGGCACCGGGGGCGAGCGGAGTTTCGCGAGGCGGCAGGGTGAAAGGAGCTGCAGGAGGGCAGTGCGCACCCTCCCGTCGGTAGAGATCGAGACGAGTGCCTCGCCGAGGCCCTTGCCCTCGGCGACCCATCGGAGGCCCCAGACCGGGTCGGTGTGCTTCCCGCCTGCGTCGATGAGTCTGGTGCCATCACCGCCGGTGTCGACGACTCGCCCGAGGCGCCATTCTCTCTTGCCTCGCCGAGCGATGCGGCCGATGCTACCGGCACCGACACCGAGTCGTCCCGCACGTCTCTCAAGGCAGAGGCTCCAATCAGGCCCGAGGAGCCTCCGGCGCCCTCCGAAAAGGATGTGCCGCCCGCACCGGATATCGAGGCAAGGGGGAGGTCGGCAACGGATGCACTGGGATCGATCAGCGCGGCGCGGCTCTCGCCGTCGCCGGGCGCGTCGAGCAGGCTCCGTGGCGTCACGTCATTGCCCTGCGAGTCGAGCACGACCACCTGCGGTCATATCCGAAGGGGTCACTCGGCACCCATGCCCTCACGCGAGGGATATCTTCACATGAACATGAACATGATGCTGCAAAAAGGATGTGGGTGCACATTATATTGGTCGGGCAGCATTTTGCTCGTGAACGTTCCAGCTGCCGTGTCGACTGGTCTGCCCTATTCCATTCGGCGCACCTGTGCCCTGCCTGCTGCGCCTGAGGCCCTCCGGGAGGCACTCCCTTTGGCAGAAGCCTTGCGACCGCGCAGACTCGTCTCACGCGAGTTGAGCCGCCGCGACTGGCTACTGTTCTGCCGCCGCGACGACAGCGCCGAGCGCTCACTCATGGCGTGAAACGCGCTCGGCCGCCCAAAAGTAACGGCTAACAAATAAAAAGAATTTTAATCCACAGCCTCTCACGACACTGTCTCACGACACTGGGCACGGGACTGGCGCGCACTTTACGTTTTCGTGCGACAATACAGGTTGCCCGCCGAAAAGAAAGCCAATTCGGCTTGGGCCCTCGGGGGCCTGCGGGCGGCCTTCTCTCGAGGTCTCGAGATACACAAAGCGGCCAACAATACAGGGGGCCCTTCACACAAATCTTAACCCCGGTCGCAGATCGCACGCACGGACAGTCGAGAGGAGGAACAGACGTCCCCACCTTTGGCTTTGCAGGATTTTAAGGGTGAGGGGGAAGGGCGCATCGCACGCGGAGAGCACTTGGAGCACTTGGAGTGCAGTCATTGGACGAGTGTTTACGTCCACAACAACTCTGACTACAAGCGACCTGAGGGAGGGGTAGAGTGTAGAGCGGCGTCGGTCGGGCTGTTCGGCATTCTCTGTTCACAGTAGGGTGATAAGAAACAAGAACCTCGCATGCGACGACAGTGAGGGTGTGAGAGACAGACCCAGGGAAGGTCTTTCACTACCTTACAGCCCCTGCCTGAGCTCAGGCTCGACAGACGTCGGTTTATCTCGGTTTGACTTCACACCGAGCCAGCTGGGAGTGGCTGCGGATAGCAGACCGCGGGAGGTCGCTGTGTAATGAGGCTGCTCGCTACTGCCATCGCCGCCCGGCCGCTGCTTGTGCCGCGTGCGGCGCCGGCCGCGCTGCTCGACGTCGAGGCCGTGGCGAGCGTGCACACCACCCTCGGCGACCTGAGCAGCACTCTGGCGTTCGCGGATCAGGCCGGAAACCTCGCAGGCACTCTCTTCCCGCTCTCTTTGCCGCCGTACCTCCTCTTCCTCTACTTCATCTGCCAGGACTGCAACGGCCTCTCGCCCACCGCCAAGGCCGGCTTCACCAGCCTGCTCGCGTTTGTCTTTGCCACCGTCGCGACGTCGGTCGTCGCCGTCAAGTCCTACGGCCTCAACCTGGCCAACGTGGACTGGCTGCACTCGGGCGCGGAGCAGCTCCTCTCCTTCACAAACGTTTGCAACGTCCGCAACGCCTCACGCTCCGCCCTCGCCGCCTGCTGAGTCAGCCTCACCTCGGCTCATCTCGGAGCTGTCTCCAGGTGGTCGGCCTCAAGCTCACCCTCGACGCCTACTCGGCGGGCGGTGGCGCGACGCCTCCCCCGTCGGGTGGCGCGCTCTCCTCTCCCGCCTTCAAGCTCATCGGATGCGCGGCGGCGGCAACCTGTCTGGCGACGTGGGCTGCGGCGGGCGGCGTGCTGGAGGGGCACACCCAGTACCTGGGAGGGGCAGGAGCAGCAGCGCGCGGACTTGCGCCCGTGCCGCCGCAGCCGCGCCTGCTCACCGCTGCATATGCCGCCCTCAGGCAACCTGCCCGGCGGGCTGTGGACGGTCGGCTTTGCGGAGCCAGCCAACGCTCTGTCGGTGCCGCGCGTGTGCCTCTCCTCGGGGGAGCAGTCGAGGAAGCTTCTCTGAACCCTCCCCCCCCTCTCCCCCCTGGCGCCTCCCTGCAGGTGCCGACTTGGACGATCCACGTCTCTTCGCTGCTCGAGTGGCTCGTCGCCATGGGGCGAGAGATAGGGGAGATCTGGGGAGATCTGGGGAGATCTGGGGCGAGGAGACGACAGACTTGCAGAGACTACTGTGCGGACAGTAGCAGGGACCAGCAGAGAGGAGATGCCTCTCCCCTCGGCGAAGCTCGGGCTGATCTCGGCTGAGCTCCTCCAGGCTCGTCTGGCGGCTCGGCACCGCCTCGGGCAACCCAAAGTGGAGGGGGCTCACTTGGGGCATCCCTCCCCTCCCCTCGCCGTCTGCCAGCCTCGGCACATCTCTGGCCAACCTCGGGCGAAGCTTCGATGAACAGGCATGACCCCGAGCCCGCGCTTCCGTGAACTGGAGTCTGTTGCTGAGCCGTGAGTGAGAAGCGAACAGGCATGATCCCGAGCCACTCGTCTGGCGTCTGCGCTTGCGTGTACCACTTCTTCTACAACGCAGAGAGCCTGCAGTTCATCGTCCTCGCGCAGGCGAGATGAGCCGAGAGGAGCCGAGAGGAGCCGAGATGAGCCGAGATGAGATGAGCCGAGATGAGCCGAGATGAGCCGAGAGGAGCCGAGATGAGCCGAGATGAGCCGAGATGAGATGAGCCGAGATGAGCCGAGATGAGCCGAGATGAGCCGAGATGAGATGAGCCGAGAGCCTGCAGCGCATCGTCCTCGAACAGGCGGCGAGGGAGGGGGGGGGAGGGTGGGGGGGGGGGGGAGGATTGCCGCCTCGCCCCTTCACCGCCGCCTTCACAGCCGAGGTATATAAAGAGACGCCGTCCCCTGCAGCCCTTCACCTCGCCCCTCCACCGCCGCAGCTCCTCCTCGCCAGGCGGCGCTCACTCTGCTCGGCAACTGCACCCTCGCCTTCGCCGCGTGGCGCCTCGCCGCCTCCAACGGCTACGCCTTCTCGCTGCCGTCGCTCGGCGATCCGGGCGGCGGCGAGGCGGCCGAGGAGCAAGAGGGCGCCGCCGCCGCCGCAGTGGCGAGGGCGGCGGCAGCGGACACACCGGCCGCCGCCGCCGCCTCTGCCGCCGCCTCTGCCGGCGTGGACGGCTCGGGCGGCGATTTGAGCGGTCTGCTCCTCGTCCTCGCCGTGTCTGTGGCGAGCTCGTGGTCTATAGTCGTGACAGGTCGACATACACTCGGAATGACCGCCATAGTATCACAACAGGCGAGCTCGTACGTGATCAAGTACGGAGAGACGCTGCTGCCCGTGGTGGCGGAAGGCGACTCGCTGGCGGTGCAGGCGCGCCGCCTGAGAGGAAGAACAGATCGTTAGAGCTGCAGTCAAGATGGATGAGTCTTGTGGTTCGCTGGCGGTGCAGGTGCTCGCGCCGCTGATGGTGGTGGCGGCGACGGGCTTCAACTGCTGGAAGTGGTGGCAGCGCTCGCAGGAGGACCGCGACTTTGGCGGGCTGATCTAGCGGAAGCACCGCTACCGCCACCGCTGGTCGCCTGTTTTTCTTTGCATAGGGCCAGGGGTGGCAAAAGCATGTCCTGCATGCAGTGCCCGTAGTGTTACCGCTGCCGTACATGTAGTGCCCGCGTGAATTCTTCTTCGCTAACCAGCATAACCATAATCAATAAACAAAAGAGCAGGCATCTCCAGGAGAGATGGGCGACGCACGAACACAGAGGCACAGCACGCACGCCGCCTCGTTCCCTTGATTTCTTTTCGCATCAAGAATGGGGCGGCTGACCAAGAAAGAATTCTCTGTGGGGCACACAGGTTCGAAAGAAACATGGTATTAACAACGAAGGCGCTCTCAGAAAGAAACCTACTCGTTGGGCTGCGAAGCACGCCCAACATAGCGGGTACTTTCCGAGGCGCATTTCTCGAGTAGAAAGAAACTCCCGCACCCGCTTCCTTTGCCTGCGACACGTGTGGTCAAGAACGGCGGAACGCTTTTGCTTTGGTATAGATAGGGCTGAGATTCTTCGGCAAATGGCACACATGGAGTCGGGGGCGAGCGGCTGCCAAGGAGGCGCGACTCTCAGGTGGCTCCATCACGTCGCACAAACCGAGACAAGACACGTTGCTGTGGCGACACAGTAAGACCACAGACGCACATGCATGCCGTAATCGACACGCCCCATGACACGCAGCCTCGCCAATGTCTCGCGCGGCACATGCATGCAGTAATCGACACAAGCCCCATGGCACGCAGCCTCGCCAATGTCTCGCCTCGCCTCAGGTCTGCTGCCTCACGCATGGCACTCAGAGGCCGTGCAGTACATTCACCGTCCTCTTCCCGAGCCTCTTCCTCTTTCCCGTCACCCGCTTGTCGCACAGGTCAAGGATGGTGACCTCCTCTCCGGTGTGCGCGTCGATGAACGAGACGCGGTAGTAGCCGAAGGTATTGTCCCTCTTCTGCAGGACCTCCGTGTAGTGCATGCGCGTCTCCTTCGAGACGCTGTACCCCGTGATCCCCGACAGCTCGGTCGCCGCCTTCTCGTCCTTCGGGAGGACGCCCTCGGGAGATGCCGCGGACGCCACGCGGGAATTCTGGTTGCCCTTTCCGCCGCGACGGATGCCCGCGCGCTGTGAGACGGCGGAGCGCAGCTGCGGCGGCACGCTCAGCTTCCCCATCACCGCCTCGCGCGGCTGGCCCGCCTCGACGGCGGCGGCGGCCTCCACCCACTCCTCCTGCGTCTTGTCGCTCACGCCCGCCGCAGCGATCGCCGCCGCCGCAGCGCTCGCCGCCTTTGCCGACCAGCGGCTGCCCGCGAGCTTCGAGACGGCGGAGCGCAGCTGCAGCGGCACGCTCAGCTTCCCCATCACCGCCTCGCGCGGCTGGCCCGCCTCGACGGCGGCGGCGGCCTCCACCCACTCCTCCTGCGTCTTGTCGCTCACGCCCGCCGCAGCGATCGCCAGCTGCGGCGGCACGCTCAGCTTCCCCATCACCGCCTCGCGCGGCTGGCCCGCCGCCTCAGCGCGCGCCGCAGCCAGGTTGTCGAGACCCGCGACCTTCACGTAGACGCCGCTCACGGTGACGCTGACCTTGATCTTGGACGCCTGGTCGCCGGCGTTGCCATCTGAGTGAAGCTGCATCCCCGCCAGCACGATGTTCGTGACAACGTCGGTGGGCTCGGTGGCGGGTGGGAGGGGCGAGGAGGAGGAGGAGGCGGCGGCGGCGGGCGGCACGGCGGCGGCGGCAGGGTACGCGATGGGGTAGAGGTGGACGCGGAGAGTGCCAACCTTCAGGAGGAGGAGGCTGCGCAGCATCGGGCTGAAAAAGCGGCCGACGCTCGAGTCCTTGTGCGTCTTGTACGCCGGGGCTGAGCACACGTTGGGCGCGATGCCGGTGCGCACCCAGCCCGGCTCGTCGTCGGCCGCGAACATCACCGGCAGGTAGCCCAGGCTCTTGACAAAGTCGGAGACGGTCACGCCTGCCAGCTTCCAGCCCTGCAGCAACTCGACGTCCTGCAGCTCGTTGCGAAGCGCAGCGACACCGCTGAGGACCTCTCCGTCGCCGCCGAGCCGCCCGAGGAAGATCGAGGCCTTGGCTGGCCAGCGCGTCGTCGCCTTGTTGGCTGGAGACCAAAACAGCCTCGCCCTCGACGCCGACGGCGTTGTCTTTACTTGGGGCGCTGGCGGACTTGGCTGCTTAGGCCACGGAGAGGACCTGTCGCACCAGCTGTTGCCCAAGAAGATTGAGGCGTGGTCGCGGGAATGAGAGGGGGGGCGTCACCCACGAAAAGAAATTCCCCGCGGGCCCTGTTTTGGGTTGCCTGTTTTGTTTCTTTATACCGGCTGTCGCTCGGCGGCTCCCATGGCGTGCTACCTCTCGGTCCTGCGCCTATGAGAGAAAGATAGATGTGATGGGAGAGGAAGAGCTTACCTCTTGTCCCTGGTAGAGAGAGTTCTTTTTGTTGAATTCTATTCTTGATGGCCCCACGCAGAGCAGGTGAGTGGTGATTTGAGCCCCGTTTTCCGTCCATAAACCATGTCGACCCTGTCCGACCTCCGCCGAGAATACGCGACCTTCAAAGCGGAGCAAAAGGCCGCTGCCGCCGCAGCGCAAACGGCCGCTGCCGCCGCAGCACAAGCGGAGCAGCAGGCAGCCGCCGCCGCAGCAGAGGCTGCGAAGGAGTGGGAGGAGATGCTTGAGGATCTCGATCTCATCGAGCGAGCCATAGCTGACATTCGATCCCTTCACGTTCAGCAGCGCTGGGAGTGGGAGCGCTATCTCCTCATCATATATCGTCAGGCCATCGAACTGCCAGTTCTCGCGGTGATGTCCCCGGAGGAGCTGCTCGCAAACCCCGCGCGTGCGTGGCAGTGGACACGCTTTATGGAGCCAGGCGCTTTAAGGAGTCAGGCGGAGGCAGCTCTAGCGACGCCGCCCCCAGGCGGAGCATCGGCGGCAGCAGCAGTGAGTAGCGTCATGCCGGCGCCGACCTCCACGCTGCCACTTACGCTGCCGGGCCCAGAGCACCCGGGGCCCGAACCGCGCGTCGCATCTCCGCCATCTCCACGCAGGCCCGTCGCGAGACGCGCAACTCGCAAGGCGCTAACGCAAGGCCGCAAGAGGCCGGGGCAGCAGCTCGAGGCGGAGCCGAAGCATCGACACGCCGAGCAGCGGCACCTGGCGCCGACGAGCGCCGCCGCCTCTGTCTCCGCCGCCGCCTCTGTCTCCGCCGCCGCCTCTGTCTCCGCCGCCGCCGCCACCCATCCCGCCGCCGACACCTTCTTCGCCGAGATCGCGCGCTCTCTCAGCCCCGTCGCTGTCGTCAACGACCTGCCGCAGCTCGAGGGGACGGAGTACAACCCCGCGCGACCCCTCGACCCAGGGGAAGGGCCGCTGGACAGCGCGTCAGATGCCGACATGGAATGGCCACTCTCGATCTGACCTCGGAAACATTAATCATAATCCTCGTCAGACAGAGAGAGATATTCTTGAGAGAATGACAGAGCGAGTATTGTTGTTACATTGGAGTCGTGTGAAGTAGGCGGGCGGAAGGAAGCGAGTTGTGTAGTAGATATACAAAAGGGAGGGAACACTGCGACACCAGCGGGCAAACAAGAAACTCGCGAAGCTCGTGTGAACTAGCCGGGGCAGTCGGAGAAGGGGCAACTCCGTGCACTGACGGTCGGCCGCCAGAAAACACGCCTGCGTGGATCGCGTCACACCAATCCTCGCTACCCAACGCGGCCAAAGGAAGGGAACCTCGAGAAAGAAGAAACTCAGCGCGCGGCGCTGACCAGCTCGCTCCCGCTGCGTGCCTATCTCGCGTCGGAGCACGTAAAGGCGCACCGTGCAAATCGCGCACCGCCACTATTGCACCGAGCCTCGCGAGGCGCCAAGGAAAGCACGTGCATTATTGCACCACCACCATGCGCCGCACACCGAATCGTGATGCGTCGCCGCCGGGAGAGCATCTGCCGCTTGTGCATGGCAGCAGCGCCAAGCCTGCCGTGGCGCGAGAGTCGCTCTGGTACCACTCGTCGTTCCTCATCATGGCCGAGGCGATGGGAATGGGCGTGCTCGGCATCCCGCACGCCACCGCCCAGATCGGGTGGGTGTGGGTGGGCGGCACTACTCCTAGACACCTCCGCTCTCCTCGCCCGCCACGCTTGCCCGGCTTCAACCAGAGGCCCACCACGACGCCGCCTCCGAGATGGCCAGTCGGTAGCACGTCCACGCCCACTCACGCCCACGACACGCCCACGACATGTCCACGGCACGGTACTCTGCAGGGTCTCACTGCGTGCGTCGCTTTTGGACTCGTCTCGACTTACTCGTCGCTGCTGCTCGGGCGGGTGAAGAACGACGCCTTCGCACAGGCGGACTCGGCTCACCTCGGCTCACCTCGCTGACGCTGATCTCGGCTGACCTCGCTGACGCTGATCTCGGCTGATCTCGGCTGATCTCGGCTGATCTCCGCGCCTCTGACCAGGCCGAGAGCTACGCTGACGTCGCCCTCGCCGCCTTTGGGCCAGCCGCCGCCCGCCTCACGCGAGCTTCGGTGCTGCTCACTTGGCAAGCCCCTCCACCCGCTGTCCTTCCGCTAGAAGGGAGCACTGTCTCACCCCTCCGAGTCGGACGGCGGCAGGCAGTCGATCCTCCCCTTCTTCCTGCTCGCGTGCGCCGAGTCGGCGCGCACCTTCGCCCCGTGGGCGCTTCTCGACACGCCCACCTGGCCGCGCCTCGGAACCTTCTCGGAACCGTCGTGGACCCGGCTCGCACCAGCCTTCTCGGGCACTCCTCTAGGCTGCTCCTCGTGGCTCTGCTTCTGCTGCCTCCTCTCCAGCTGCGCACACTGCACCAGGTCACATCGCCCTCCGTCGCATCGAGCACTCTCGGGCACATCTCGGGCACATCTCGGCGCATCTCGGCGCATCTCATTCGGGTGGGCTGCGCCAGGTCGTAGGACTCTCCTTCGCTGGAGCTTTCCAGGAACCTTCGAGGAGCCTTCCAGGAGCCCCCGTAGGTTGCATGGCTCTCTTTCGCCTCCTCCGTCGCCATCGTCGCCGCCATATCCGCCATCATGGCCGCCCTCCTCCTCCAAGCCCGCGACGACGCCGCCCCCGCCTCGCCCCCCTCCGCCGGCGCCGTGATGAGCCGAGAGGAGCCGAGAGGAGCCGAGATGAGCCGAGAGGAGCCGAGAGCACAGCGTGTGGCTGATTATTAGCTAATTAACTAGTTAATTAATTAATCTCGCTGCGAGCAGGCGGGCGGAGGCACAGCGTGTGGCTCCCCTCGGGCGCCGCCTCCCTCGACTCGTTCGGCGCGGTCTCCGCGTTCGTGTTCGCGTACCAGTGCCACTCGGTGCTCCTCGAGATCATGCGCGAGATGCGCGAGCCGCGCTCTTTCCCCGCCGCGGCGCGTGCTGCGTACGGCGTCATGGGCCTCGTCTACACGTGCACCTGCGTGCTCGCCTACGGGGCGTACGGCAGCGAGGTGGCCGGCTTCCTGCCCGAGTCGATGCCACCGGGGCACGCCAAGCGCCTGGTCGGCCTCGCTGCTCTCTCCTCCGCTCCCGGGACACCGCCGAGCCTGAGTCGACCCGATGCCGAGGTCAGGTCGGCCTGCTGCTCGCCCTACACACTGCCGTCGCCTACATGGTCGCCGCGCAGCCGCTGCACCGCTCCATCCACGCCTCGCTGCTCGCCGAGCCGGGGGGCGGGGCCCGCGCCGCCCTCTGCTGGCTCTGTGTCTCGAGCGGCGTGCTGCTCCTCAGCATCGTCCTCGCGACAGCGGTCCCGTTCTTCTCCGACCTCCAGTCCCTGCTCGGATCGCTCGCCGGCGCGCCGATGATGTTTGGCTTCCCCGCGCTCTTCTACCTCCGCGCCTGCCGCGCGCACGGCTTGGCGCTCTCCTGGTTCGACGCGGCGGCGTGCCACTTCCTGCTCTACCTGCTCACGCCGACCCTCGTCGTGCTTGGCACGCTCAGCTCGATGCGCTCCATCGCGCACAGCTGGGAGGTGGCGCTCGCCGCAGACGCCGCGGCGCAAGCCCAGCCGGCTTACTTGAGGTAGAACGAAAAACATGTTTCGGCTTCGCCCGTCGTTACTCGTTAGTCGTCCTCCCGATGGGGGACTAGCACTAGCCGTCTTCCACATGGTCCCTCGGGTCCCTGCTGCTCCTAATCTCGTCGTACATCCTCCTGCTGATCTCCGCAACATCCTGCTCCCTCCCTCTTCTCGCCCTGCGCGTCTGCTCCGCCTCCCCGTCGTCCGCCCTGCGTCGTCTGGTGACGGGTCCTCCATAGTCAGTTGAGGTCGCCGCCCTCCTCGTGCCTCTTCCCAACGTTTCCTCGGCGGCCGATGCCGTCTTCTCCGACTCCGCCGTCCCCGCGTCTGCCCTCGCATCTCTTCAACACCTACATAGCTCGTTAACCGTCTGCCACGCCACGGCGGTGTGGAGGACGACAGACAAGCGCTGCATCTGCAACCCGTGCCAGTTCTTGGTGGTCCATGTGACCTCATCGAGGTGCTGAGCGTGCGAAAGTTTGTTACTCAGCTGGTCCGCCGCCTGCCGAAGAATTTTGCGGACGCCGTCCCCGAAGCCGCCGAACGTCTCGAAGTCGAGCAAACGCAGGTCGCAATTCTTCTCCCGCGCGAACCGGTAGTCGCCCTTCTCGTAGGGGGCCGTCACAGGTGCCGCCCCCGCCTCCGCCTCCCCCTCACTCTCCCCCTCCTCCTCTTCCGCCGCCGCCGCCTCCGCCTCTGCATCCTCCGCCTCCCTCCCCCTCCCCCTCTCCCTTTTCGTTTTTTCTTTTCTTTTTTTTTTTTCCTCTCTGTCTTCTTTTTTCTCTTTTTTTCTTTTCCGTTCTGTTTCCTTTTCCTCCGTCCTCCTTTCCTTTTTTTTTTTTCTCCTTC